AGCCTACGCAACGTAATTCATCGTTTGCAGAAGTGCTTTAAGATCCTGCAGTGAAAGTGCCCAGTGAAGTGTGCTTTAAAATGTTATTTCATTATAGCACAATGGGACTGCCCAGAAAACCCACGAGATTCTAACTGGAAAGCAAGGCTCCTTTTTCCTTCATTCCAGTGTCTGGTGTGCTGATAAAATGCAGGAAGTTTCAGGGTGGCTGAAATTTGCTGGAGATGCAAAAAGGACCTTTTTTCAAAGACACAGGAGACAGGAAGGTTTTGCTGTTGCACCTGCAAAGATATTTATCATACATATTACAAAGCTACAGTTCCCAGTGCCCTTAAAACTACAGCTCTCAGGATTCTTGGTATGTATGCAGCCATAGACTGCAGCAGTGTCTGCTCTAAACCACAAAGTTACCTGGACACTTTGGACACTTTCACAGTATTTCCAATCCTTTTCCCGTCGCTCCCTTCCTTTTCCCGATACTTTAGAGAGGGGTGGGAGTGGGGATTATTGCACACGCGGTCTAAGGGAATGCGCTGGTCCCAGCACATTCCAGATGTGGCAAAACAAGCTCCGATGTGCAAGTATGAATTATGAACCTACAATGTTTCCTTCCCTGGCACAGTTTCCGCACCTTCTGACGACGCCTGCTTTTACAGCACATGCAGCAGAAAGAAAACACCCAAATCATAACATAGATAGTACAAAGGGAGCATTGACGAACTTAAGGACAGTTCAAGCACAGGCCACAGTGTTCGTGCCAGATGGGGAAGTTATTGTGTGGCCTGCAGCCCTAACACCAACTAGTCCCACTGAACAGTTTTGCTACTGCAGGAAGATGCTCACAGGTGCATCTGTAATTCATAGTACACCCTTCCTGCCGTCCATTCACAGGCAAGCATGGAGCTCAGAAGACCTGTGAACTAGCAGACGGGAATTCTGGAAGCTTCTGGCTGCAGAAGAGGGTTCATCCCCATTGCCCTACAGCTGCTATTAGGTCGCATCCATACCATAAATTTATGGGACGCGGGTGGCGCTGTGGGTTAAACCACAGAGCCTAGGACTTGCAGATCAGAAGGTCGGTGGTTCGAATCCCCGTGACGGGGTGAGCTCCTGTTGTTCGGTCCCTGCTCCTGCCGACCTAGCGGTTCGAAAGCACATCAAGTGCAAGTAGATAAATAGGTACCGCTCTGGTGGGAAGGTAAACGGCGTTTCCGTGCGCTGCTCTGGTTTGCCAGAAGCGGCTTAGTCATGCTGGCCACATGACCCAGAAGCTGTACGCCGGCTCCCTCGGCCAATAAAGCGAGATGAGCGACGGAACCCCAGAGTTGGCCACGACTGGACCTAATGGTCAGGGGTCCCTTTACCTTTATACCATAAATTTAAAGCACTATGATGCCACTTTAAAGAGCTGCGGCTCTCCTCCCGCCCCCCCCCCCAGAATTCTGGGAGCTGTAGTTTGTTGAGGGATGCCGAGTTGCTAGGATACCTTCATTCCCCTCCCGGAGCTGCAATTTCCAGAGAGGTTTAACAAGCAATCCCTCTTCACAGGGAACAGTATTTTGCATTAGATGATAAGGGGATGTCATAAGGTGCTTTGGGCACAGCCCACTGTGGAAAAGCAGCATATAAATAAAATCATAGTCTGAGAGCCACTCAGTGCACTGTAGACATGGTTGGAACAAGAGAGCGATGGACTAAACCCAAGATTGGACAGGTTCAACCCCTCACTAGGTGGCCTTGGGCTAGTTGTTGTTGTTTAGTCATTTAGTCGTGTCCGACTCTTCGTGACCCCAAGGACCAGAGCACGCCAGGCACTCCTGTCTTCCACTGCCTCCCGCAGTTTGGTCAAACTCATGCTGGTAGCTTCGAGAACACTGTCCAGCCATCTCGTCCTCTGTTGTCCCCTTCTCCTTGTGCCCTCAACCTTTCCCAACATCAGGGTCTTTTCCAGGGAGTCTTCTCTTCTCATGAGGTGGCCAAAATATTGGAGCCTCAGCTTCACGATCTGTCCTTCCAGTGAGCACTCAGGGCTGATTTCCTTAAGAATGGAGAGGTTTGATTTGGACTAGTTAGACATCATTATCTCTCGGCCTAACCTACCTAACATGGTTGTGCAAAACAGGTGGGTGTAGGTGGGAACAACCACATACAGTGGTACCTCGGGTTACAGACGCTTCAGGTTACAGACTCCGGTAACCCAGAAATAGTACCTTGGGTTAAGAACTTTGCTTCAGGATAAGAACAGAAATCGCACGGCGGCAGCAGGAGGCCCTATTAGCTATAGTGGTGCTTCAGGTTAAGAACAGTTTCAGGTTAAGAACGGACCTCCAGAATGAATTAAGTTCTTAACGCGAAGTACCACTGTACATTTCTCTTGAGTTTTTTCTTTTCTTTTTCTGGTTGGCAAAGAATGCTTGCTTGACTGTTGGAGGGTGAGCAGGAATGAAATGGAGTTTCCTGAAAAGGGGGGAAAGCTGACTGGTTGGTATCCTGAACAGCAGCACTCCCCACTGCAGTATTCTGTTGAGTGTCCTCTCCAGTTTCTAAAAAACTGACTCTGATCTCTAGCCCAGCTATGGAGGAAATGCCTTTACGGACAACTTTCCCCGGAGATTTCTTTAACTTTTATTTCTGACTGCAGTGGTACCTTCCCTTCTCTTCATTTTCCTGCGTTTTTTTTGTTGTTGTTTTTTTTTAAGCCAGGGGGAGCTGCCAACAGTGTGTAATGTCTTTTCTTGTCAAGCAAGGTCACCAAGACATTTTGAAAAATGGGCACGATGCCACACTTACCCTTATGAGTCAGCTGTCACTGGGACAGACAATCCCAAGTGAGACTGTCAGCGCTGCAGTAGGACACCGAGTGCAGGAAAAGGTACAATAAACATTTCTGCCAGTGTTTGATGTTACTTCAGAAAATTGCAGTATCCAACTTGCTTCCCCTTCATTTCAAGTGTTTGCATTCACAGGGGTCATAGTTCAAAATATCTGGAGGGCACCGGATTGGGGAAGGGTGATAACAGAATAAGGCAAGAAAGGAGCACTCTGCAGTAGCAGGAATTAACTCACAGCCTAATGGCAGCAATTATGAGCAATAGTGGGCTGTACTGTAATGTGGGCTGTACATTGCAAACTTCCATACAAAATGCCTTGGAACATCTTGGATAGAGACCTTTTGTGTGCATGGAAATTTGAAGTAGCCATAATGATGGGTCTGATTCTGCACACGTGACTTAAAATCTTAACACGAGACTCCGTCCCAAACCATTCCCTCTTTAACGGGGAAGAGAGGTGGGTTTTCTGCATCTCAAAGCAGCCACTAATGAATCACTGCATTAAAGCTGAAACTAACTCTCATGCCTGTATTGATTTCAGTTTCAACATCGTTTTAAGTCCACTCCCGACCCCAAATGCAATTTAATATTGTCAATTGAAAGAAACTGCTGAGCTAAATGATCCAGCAGGACTCTTCCTGCTTTTAGTTTCTTGTTTTTCCTCTTATTAATCCCTCCCCCCAAAACAATAATCCAATCTGCTCTCTGTATGTACTTAATGCTGCTGTGCCTCCGTCAAGCCAATGGATTCTTGTCCAAGCAACTCAAGAACTGTTTAGTGCAGCTTGTCAGACACTTGGCTCAGTCCAAAGCCCTTCCTATTCCAAATCAGACGCTTCAGGTAATTTGCCTCCATTAACTGCGAAATCAAATGCTCATAAAGGGCAGGCATTAAATACAAACTCACAAAGACAGTGCGGCACAGAAAATGTGCAGAAAACTGCACTCCTTATGTTTTATGGTAGGAACCCATTATTGCTCCAACATTGATTTTGTATTTAAAACAAGGAGAAACAAAATCAGTTTTAAAATACTACATCCAGGAGTATTTTTCTGAATTGTATTGTCCGGTCTGCAGGCAAAGGGTTAGAACCGATCCTGTTCGGTCAAATGGACCAGACATTCTATCAAGAGACATAACAGGAAGTGGCAGAATTCTGTTGACAAGCAGAATCTATTTTCACAGAATTGCATGGATTAGAACACATGGATTTTATACTAAAAAACAAGCAATTACAGATAGCAAGCAGTCTGTCACACAAGGATAGGGAGCCTGTGGCCCTCCAGATCTTGGTGAACTACAACTTCCATCATCCTTGATCAATGGCAATGCATGCTGGGACTGATGGGAACTCGGGAGTTTGTTCCTCAAGTTTCCTTCCCATATCCAGATTTCAGGGAGACCTCTGAAACAACAATTATAGGTCTGCTACTTTTATTTTTTCTGTTCAACTATTTTGTTCTGAATAAACCTGTTTTGGTGAAAATTTAGTCTTTTTAGCTGTTCTACTCCTCAGCTACAATTCTTATTTTCTTAAAATTTCTGTCATCTCATTTAACATCATTTTCCAAATAACACCACATTAAGGGTTTTCTATGTCCCATAAACACACACTTGAAGCTACAGAGTATCCTGCTTTCGTCTGCAATCTTATGCAAAAAAATTACTTTTCATAATGCATTAATTCCATATGAACATTGCAGTACTTGGCACTTCGATACTAGTTGATAAAAGGAATCCAGTGTTTATAATTTTCATTCCTTCCCATGCATTTGTTTTCCCAAAGTGAAAAGCTAAGGATTACAGCCTTATACCAGAACATCAATCTGATTCTTGGATACAGAGTGAGCTAAAGAGCTCCCCCTTGTGTGAGCAAACCAGCCAGCGGCACCCCAAACTTCAAGAAGAAATTTGAACTAGCCAACCGTGGGAGTACATTAGAAGCAAGAAGTCTTTTTTGGGTCAAATTTTCATTTTCATCATTATCAAGCCTGCAGTACTAGAGATTCAGATTTCCTTTTTACTGCGAGGGGCACAAAGGGGTGAACCATGTCTACTTCTGGTAGGGACAATGATAATTCACACAACATAGTCTTATTATCTGCTTAAAGACTGTAGTCAGAAGAAAAACACACACACAACTTTAATTAAAAAAAACACCACCGCCACCAAATTAATCCCAGGTATTCAGGGCTTTATTTTTCACAGGCAAGTAACCAAAAGCAGAGTTGAAACCAGATTCCATGTGTTCATTAGATACTGTCTTTTTATACATAACAGTGCTCCACCCAGGTTTAATACTGGCAGCTAGCAATAGATTTACTTTGGATGGATAACTTTTCTGTACTCTTGGCCTCGAGTGTGTGTGTATATGTATAAGCTTCTTCGCATCAGAGCTTTTTTTGCAAATGCTATAAACCGGTTGCCACTGTTTGGGCTGTGCCACAGAAGGTTAGGGCTCCCCCATCATTGACTGATAATACAGCACAGTCTCCAGCAGAACCAGGTCAACCTTTTTTTTCCCAATAAGCACACAGTAAATGATTAATTTAAAAACAGCCACCACAAACTGGAGTGTACACAACTGGGGGAGTGAGAACAGTGGGGGACATGAAGAAGGCAGAAAGCAAGTTTAAAAGCATATAAATGGGAGCAAATACATTCCTTCCAGAATTCCCAACTCAAGGGTGAGAGTGCTACAGCCCCAGTGTGGAGTTCAGTGGTTATGGGACAAAACATTCGAGTCTGACCACATCGCATATTGGGACCTGATCAAAACCCGCGTTTTTCTAGTGGTCCAGGTTCCATTTCCATAGAAAGCACAGAGCACACACGTCACTCTGAACTGAGTGTGCACATGCCACTTTGAGATAGGATAAGCGGTGCCTCTACAGAAAATGCCGCATTTCACGAAGACTTTTACATTACTGATATTTATCAATATGGAAACAACATTCGTATAGGATGCTTTCCTTTCTATGGGGATTAAAGACTGTCCACCTTCCGAGTTCACTCATGCAAAGTATTTTTAAATTCCTCAATGGAAAAAAGTACACAGCCCAGGATTCAAAGTGTGTGTCTAAAGTAAATCTGTGTGCGCACAGATTATGTTTATGATGTTGGCTTCCCCTTCCAACAGCAGTCCAGCCTCCACGGGATGCTACTTCACAGGGTCCCTAGACTTTTCGGAGCAGCATTTGGGGAAGGGGTGTGTGTGTGCTAAGCGTGTGTCAGGGAGTTACTGCTGGAAGAGAGAGGCTGAAAAGCCCCAGTGAACACAAGGTGCATTGTTTTCCAGCCACAGTAAAATATTAACACTGATTTTTGCCAAAGATCTGCATGTGCACTCTATCTATGGATATAATTAACTGTGCATGTGAGCACTAGTTTCAGCTGACAAACATGGCTTTTGGCAGCACTGTATTATAACTAGGGCCGCGTCTCTACCAGTGTGAGTGGGAATTTTATTACTGACTCCAGCAGTCATATTTCTACGTGTTGCAGGCTCTGCAAAACAGGACAGGCTCTTTGGGAGAATTATTAACACTAAACAGTGTGAAATGTTCCTTCAGAAGAGCCTTAACATTTTCTGACTTTGGTCTTGAATAAATAGAAAAACACACACATACACATTGGTCTCTCTTGAGTAACTGACTCTAAAGGGATTAAGACAGAAAACTAAGTGACCTTGAGCATCAACCAAAACAAAACCAAAAAACCAACACATTTGGAAATTATGCAGCATGCTAAGAATACACAGATGTAAAAGTACACATATTTCAAAATATGATCAAGAAACCCAACATTTGTCGACAGGGAAAGTTCCAGACATGTACATTTTCCCCAGGCCGGTAACATTTAGCACAGTTGCAGCAAATAGGATATAGCAGCTTTTGATGCAAGAGTTTGCACATTCATGATTGAAAAGAAAAACAGAGCTTTCCATGGATTAGCAGCTGCATAGTGAGCGCATTCAAAAAGCTGATCCTTTGTGGCACATAAGAAGTCATGGATTATGGTGGTCTTTTTTCTATTTACAGTCACTTTGCTTGTACGCTGAAGTTCTTGACAATGCTTCATATCTTGCAGTGCATATCCCATGACATTATCACAGCAAGCAGCTCTTCCCAGCTGAAGGGTGATGGAAAGGATGTGGGTTCTCACTTAACCGGTCACCTTAGCCATGTCTTTTGGAGTAAGTAGCCCCACAACGTGATTGGCACACACAAATAAAGACCAACTAAACACAGAAAGCAGAATCTATGCAAAACTGGCCTAATCCCAACAGTTTAAGATTTGGGGTTCAATACTTCATTTTTATGATTATTTCATTTCTTGGGAATGATGCCGTGAGACCAATTTTCCAATGGGTGGGGGGATTCAAAAAACAACCCAGGGAACAAAAACTGCTGAAGCATTCTGTAAAACTGACCCCTGGAAGAAGTGGAGTTAGTTTGTATAAATGTGGGTTGTTTTTTTTAATGTTACACCACAATAATACAAAGAACATTGTATCAACCATGGGTAAGCTGCTGTGTTAGGCCAGGCAGAGATTTGCAAAGCTTTAAGCATGAATTTTGGTTTATAATTTGGATCATTTTGCTGCTGTTGGGAGCTTAGGTCTTTAAAGAGAAAAGAACGCTGGAGCTGAAGTGATGATAAACATACAGGAAACAGCGGAGATGTTAGAAAATAAACAATATATAAATATATATGTGTGTGTATGTGCCAATGGCTCTGGGCCTGTCTTCTTGCCAAGGGCCGACACAGCCCTGATTGTGTAACAGAATGTCATGAACACAATGAACATTTAGCAGGCTCACAAAATTATAAAAATGACCTGAACAAAATCATGAACGTACTTTCTAATACTTAGCACCCTGCTGACTGAAATATGGAACTGTTGATTTCCTGAAAAAAATCAACAGAAAAGCTTAGGTGTCAGATTGAGAACAAAGGCAGAGCATCTTTCAGTCAAAAAGGTTCTTTTGAAAACAAACAAGAATGTAAAAAGCCCACAACTGAAAAACGAACAAAAAACAACAACTGGTTGCCAGTTAACTTGGAGTTATCGTCCTCAATTAAAGAAAGGCCTTCAGAAGGCATCCACACACTACTTGAACAAAGACTATCACAGGAACCCTTCAGGAACAAGCAACTATTTTGCCTTTAAACATATTACTACGGTTTTGAGTGTCAAGTGCAGAAGATCTGAGCCAATGGATGGCAAGTGACGGCAGCGAATGATTTGCGATACACGGATGAGCTCCATGTTAACAAGGTCCAAGGACTCTGGTTGCTGAAGATGTTGTCCCCCTGTCTCCTCCGCCTATTCTCTTGTCGACCTTCAAGCAGGGAGTTCAGAACCAGGCCAGTTTTGCTTCTTTGCTCTCAGAGGCACACTTCTGGAACAAATCTAGAAACTGATTCTCTCTCTTTCTCCTCCTCTCTTGTCTGTCTCTCTATCTCTTGCCAATTCCATTGGTTACTTTTGTTTTCGAATGGCGATTCCTCCTCCTAGATGAATGGCTCTCGCTGTTGCTGGAGTGTTTGGGTGGACTGTCTTCCGTTCCTAACAAGCAAGTCACACACACACACACACATTTATACAAGTGAGATGTAGTTATTTTAAAGAGCATCTTTTCTTACCTGGCAAATGTACATCTCTGGATTTATTAACGCATACTGAGACATTTTAGTTGAAACTGGCATGCCATCTAGTGGCTTAACTTCCCAAATTATGTCCCCCAAATTATATCATCTGTTAAGAAAACAGTTTACCTACAATGTAATGTAGTTGTCTCAACTCTTTCTTCAGTCTTGATATTAAGCTAGCTAGCACGTGGAAACACCAGGTGCTGGAGCAGGACTCGGGGGCAGAATAACTCTATAGACCAGTGTTTCCCAAACTTGAGTCTCCCACTTTTTTTTGGACTTCAAATCCCATTTTCCCTGCCCACTGGTCTTGCTAGCTAGGGATGGTGGGAGTTGTAGTCCAAAAACAGGTGGAGACCCAAGTTTGGGAAGCAACGATCTATAGGTTTGCAAGGCAGAAGCTGTGGGTGAGATCCTGGTCTCCATACTCTGCTTCCCAAACCCTATGAAAATCTAGTGGGTGTGCATGTGAACTCTGAGTATCCTCAAGAGTAAGGGGTAGGAGATGAGAGCAGTGCACAACTGTAAGCAGATGGGACACTGCTGTTGGTGGGATGGGGAAGAGATAAAGAGAAAGGTTGAGAAGAAAGCAAGCAGAACAAACTCTTTACTCAGCCAACTCCCAGGAACAGCAGCGAGCTTCTTTGCAGGGGCATCAAGCAGTAGTATTCTAGCTGTGTGATTCCACATTTATCCACAGCTGCAAAGGGAACCACACTAACAGGACACATTTATCATGCAGTTGACCATGCCTAGCTGGACCCCTGAATGGAGAAGCCTGGCCACCATGAGGCCACAGTGTTTTTGGCCACTTCTCCTGGGTGAGAAGTGCCTGCATGGATGTCAGATCAGGACAGGGATGACAATCAGCTGGGACCTCTTTCTCAACACATGCCAGCATTCAACCTGTGTGGGGTTTTTTTTGTTTGTTTTTTGTCACCCTGCAGTGTGTAGCATAAGGAGGCGGCCAGTTTTGAAGGCGAGACTTTCGCCTTGGGCTGCCAAAGCAGCCGATCAAACCCCAGGTTCCAAATTTAGAAGCTTTAACATTTAGAAGCTTTGGGAGGAATTCATCGCAGAGCTAAAATTGCTCCAGCGGCAAGAGCAATTTCCCCACTCCTCCCTGCACACTGTTCTGGAGATTCTTCTGACAGCCCCAAAGCCAATTTTTTTTGGGGGGGGGTGAAGGAGAGGAAGGGGAGCCCCTGCTGCACCAGCAGAATTCCTTGAGCACGCTTCTGCAAGTGGGGGTCTGTTAGTTTAATCCAACCCTTTATTAAGATTAAATAAACCACAAAGAATGGCAAAGGAAAACAAGGAAGAAGTAGATGGTGGCATTATCAGACAGAAAAGTGTAAAAGATAAAACAACACAATTTAACACAGATGATGCTGGAAAAATTAGGGAACAAGGAAAAGGAACACTGGAGCCAAAAGTGGAAAAGGAAACAAACTCTCCAACAAAAAAACTTATCCCCAACATCCAGGCAACATGTTTAATATACCTTGGATGGGGTGTCAGAACAGTATTTGGGGCACAAATACATTTTTTTAAAATGGGGGGCAGAGAGAGAGAGAGAAGGAAAAGGAAAAGGAAAAAGGAAAAGGAAAAGGATTCTGTGGCCACTAAGCATGTTCAGCCTCACTGGGCTGCTTTTTGGAAAGCTTCTCCTCTTTAGAGTCCCCTCACACCTCAAAAATATTTCTTGAACTTTTGCAAACTTTGTGGTTCCCCCAAATCTGCCCCTTTTGTGTGGGTGGTGCTACTTCAGCTGCAATTCAGAGAACTGAGATGCCCGTTAGCATATACGATTCAGTTTTAGACTATTTTAATTTGATCCCCTTAACAACTAAACACAAGAAAGAAACGTGCTGGTATGTTTCAAAAACCTAAATAAAATATACAAATTATCATCATTTATTAATTTATATAACCACTTGCCAAAATGGAATATGCCACTAAAGCTGAAAAATATAAAGGAAAAAAAATGTTTTCAGCACTGTAATATTTTTTAAGAAAAGTTTATTTTGTTTAGAATTTTATAGATTTCAAGAAAGTTTTTAAAAGATGGGGGGAAAGAATTGCTAGGAAATTGTATTAAGAGATCATATTACAGAAAAATGTGTTTTCATATAACGTAGAAGAAACACATGTATATAAAAAAAGATTACATAGAGCTTTAAAAAGTATGTTGAAAATCAGAAGGAAAAATCTGTGTTAATAAAAGTTCTCTCTCTCTCTCTCTCTATATATATATATATATATATAGAAACAAGTGTTTCATTTACAATAAAATTTCAATTCATGACAAAGAACAACTGCTATATAAAGTGCGGGCTATTAAAATGCTTAACAGTAATTTTGTTTCATCCCCGACTCCCTATTGACGTAAGGACGGAGGGGCCTCGATCCAAGGAAACAGACAAATGGGTCTGCACGCCAAAGAGGGCTTGAACTTGGGTTTCTCAAATGGCAGCCCTACCCTGTAGCATCCCTACTCACAAAATGGGATGAGGGCGCATTTCTTCAAAGAAGGAAGACAAACTTCCATTGGGCATGAACGTTGTAGAGCATCTGAAGTAGCTCCTCTCAATCCCAGCCAATTTTACAACTTTCATTGTCTCTCACCGTGGACCACAATGGCTGGAGCCGTCCAGCAACAAGTGGAGTCCCACAGGTACTCCATCCCTCTGATTCAGAAGAGAGAGCAAGCCTCAATGCATAAGCAGGCATTAAGAGATCAAGGCAGACTCAAGGCAAGTGTGATGTTCCCTTTGTTCATCTATTCTCTTTCGAGCCACCGTTTCCAGTGTGAATTATTTCTAATGTTAAACACAATCCTCTGCCTGCGTGTCTTTGAGGTGGCTTATAAGTGCCGGCGTTAGTATAAGGGCGCACGCCCTCAGAGCATCTCTGGCGCGTGACCCCTCCCTCGCTGCCACAGTCATCAGTGGCGCCATGGTGACGAGGCCTGTCCTTGCTGTGGTGAAGCCTCCCGTCGCAGCTCCTTGGCCCTTGTAGGCTGGAAATGCCACCTACTTACCCTGGAACCAGGGAAAAGGCTACAAAAAGCACTGAGTGCCCCAGAATCTTCAGTGCCCTAGAACTAAGTGCCCTGGAATCTTAAGGCTAACGCTAGACCTGCGAAGCCCAGTTGCTGCTTCACGCCACTTGGGGTGCCCATTTTCCTAGGCATCATCTTTATTGTGTACTGGCATGCTGATGAAAGGTGGTCTATTAAACTAAATCAATCTATCTATCTATCTATCTATCTATCTATCTATTTGAGGGCCATTAAAAAACCAACTTGGGAATTCAGCCAAGAAAGCTGCTGAAAAGGAAACGATTAGGGTGGGTGGGGAGGGAGACGTTTGTATGTATGTGTGAGAGAGAGTGCACACCCACACCCATATATCTCCAAGGACTATTTGGCTGGGACAGAATGTACCATACAAACCACCAGTACCTCTAGTAAACTTAGAGTTAAGCCAGGAAGCATCTGGGATGTATGAGCTGTCTTCACTTTCTGACAGCGTCTGTGGAGACAAAGAGGATCATCGTGGGGTTTCCACCTTTGCAATCATCTACGCTTACTGCCTCCAAACTCTATTAAACGTGCTTTCTGAAAACTGCAGAGATGACTGGTCAAACACTATACACAGTGCATTTTTCTCGTGCCTTCTTCCTAACGTACACACCGAGCTATACAGGTCTAACAGCTAGGAGGGGAGAGAAAAAGGCTTAATCATGTCCTCTGCGCTTTGTTATGTAACCCAAACCTCCTCCTGCTGCTTGGCATTCCCATCTGCCCTTCCGCCCAGGTGCAATGACAATTTTAAAAATTGCTTTTCCAAGCTGTAAGACTGGAATGATAGGGATGACTACACAGTAGGGAGTTAGTTGGGTCTGACTTCTGCTTAAGCAATGCAAGTCTTCCTGCAAAGAATGGGCTTCTTAAATTTATACATGAACAAATGCCATGTTTTCCCCCATTTACATGGTGCTCAGTACCATGTCAGCAGGGATATGATTTCCATCCTTTTTGGTAACAGAGCATCCACATCTATGTGGCATAGGATTTATTGAGGTGCACAAAATCATGAGGTAAGAGCACCCGTTTAGTGAGGAGGGAAGGTGTTGCAAGATCAATTTACTATTCTTTGGGAGAGTAATAAGACTGGCTAGGTCTACAATTCAGAGCTCAAGAACCCTGCTGCATCAAGCCAAAAGGACCACTAAAGTTCAGCATCCTGAGTCCACTGGACCAAAAGCCTTCCAAGGACTGAAGGACTCTTTCAGTCTGCAGAAGGCAAAATCCGGACCCAACCCGTTAGAAATAACCAAAATCAATGCTCTTATAATAAAATGCTTTTTTGGGGGTAATATCTTCTCTATGTCCAAGAACAGACCTTAGAATCTTAACACCTTACCCTCCCCAAGCTTCAGCAAAATAGACTTTTAACATGGCTTCCACACAAGCATCTTTCAAAATGTGCCTTGTGCCCAGTTAAGCATTACCTTTTCTCGCTGTCCGTAGTGGTCCGCATACCAAACCATTCCATATAAACAAAGGAAAGTAGTTACGGCCTACAACATTGGGAAAAGGGATGAAAAGGAGGGAGAGGAGTCAAAACCTACCAGCTTCTACATTAATTCCTTTATTATTTCAGGGCATCACACCCCATCTTTCAACAAGTTGCCTCAGGATGACTTATAATGCATTGTTGGAGGTGAACAATGTTGATGAACACTGAGCCTCTCTTCCTAGTGTATACATAAGTACCTATTTATACTACAAACATTTTTATTTTACACTACCACTATGAACAGGGAGGGCTATCACCCAATTAAAAAAAACAAACCAAAACACAACTATGTATATGAATTTTAGGGTTGAATTCTACACCAGAGGCCTGGTGCTTAAGAGGCGATAGCAAATATTAGGAATCTCTGGCCTGTGAGGTAAAAGAGGAACTTTTCCAGGCCTCCGTGGCTGGCCTTTGGGACACTCCTCAAGCGACACACCTCTCCCCAGACCTGCTTTGTACACCACCCTTCAGTGTTTTGGCCTGGCTGGAATATGTACTCTAATCTGTGAATGCTTTTTTTCTTGTCTGGATGGAGGATAGAGAGGATAGAGCTTACTGGGTAATGGTAAAATTCACATTGAATGCTCTGTCCATTTTTCCTCTGGCCCCACACACCATTGGCGTGTGGTCCCCGAAAGGCTGCCCAGAAGAGCGTGAGACACTTGGGTTGAAATAAATAATCCATCCCTGGCTATAGAATTTGGCAGAAGCTTCACTACGCCAGCAGAGCACCAGCCGGGAATAGATTTATTGGTGGAAGAACCCGCCACTTCAATTATTATTTTTAAGCAATTCGTCTAGGTTAAACATTGCAGCCCTGGTCACAAAGTTGTGTTAATGGGTAGATTGTGGCTTACATTTAGCCAATGACCAAAGAGAGATGGCAACTAACATGGTTGCCGTACCAAAGAGGAAGACCTAAGGAGCAAAGCATTGTGCAAAATAAAGAGCCACTTACCACACAAAGGAGCCAAAACACAACATATAATATCTGTGTTTTGGAGAAGAGGTCTTGGCCAAATTTGATGCACACAATAGCTTCCAGGAAACCAATAACTCTGAGGTAATGACAAAAGAAGTACAGGCTGTTTTTAATTTAAGAACATGCTTTAATATCTTCACTGGGGGCGGGGGTGTTTGCATGATTTTGTGAGCTAGTTTATAAATTGCTCTCATGTTATGGGGAGCTAAATAAGCTTTGAGGGCCATCCATGAAACAGCTCACTTTTGAAAGCCTTTAAAATAAATCCTCTACCTTGGGTCAGGCTCCGTCCCCCTTTAACAAAAACTCCTTCCATTTTTTTGTTACAACTTTGCTCCCCTTAATAAACAACCCCTTAGAGCATTTTTATATCTTAGTCAGAGCTGCTTTGTAATGCAAATGTAAAAAATATACATGGTAATTTGCATTACATGTGCCTCCATTTCTGTATTATCAGCAGGCGGGTGGCAACATAAATAGTATGTTGTGGATGTGTGAACATGCCATGAGAGAAGAGATTAGCTTCTGTCAGTCAATAAAAGTGGTATCTGGTGGCATCACAGTTCAGTGGTAGAGCACATGCTATGCATGCAAGGAGTCCTGGGTTTAATTCCTAGTATCCCCCATTATATGAGACGCGGGTGGCACTGTAGTCTAAACCACTGAGCCTAGGGCTTGCTGATCAGAAGGTCAGCGGTCTGAATCCCCGCGACGGGGTGAGCTCCCGTTGTTCAGTCCCTGCTCCTGCCCACCCAGCAGTTCGAAAGCACGTCCAAGTGCAAGTAGATAAATAGGTACCACTCCAGCGGGAAGGTAAACGACATTTCTGTGCGCTGCTCTGGTTTGCCAGAAGCGGCTTAGTCATGCTGGCCACATGACCCGGAAGCTGTACGCCAGCTCCCTCGGCCAGTAAAGCGAGATGAGCGCCGCAATCCCAGAGTAATCCACGACTGGACCTAACGGTCAGAGGTCCCTTTACCTTTGCCTTTTATCCCCCATTATAATAGGGATGGAGAACCTGTGGCTCCAGTTAGCACGGCCAATGGCAGGGGTGTTGGGAGAACTCCGGGTACAGGGCAGTATATAAATTCAATAAATAAACAATAACACTTCAACAACTTCTGGAGGACCACAGATTCCCTACCCCGTTTTAATTTTTTTAAAGAATGAACACGTTTCTAATTCTCATGTTTATGATGATTTCAAAAGCCAGAGGGGTATCTGAATAAAGTTTCTAGTGATGGAGGTCTTGTACAGATCCTTGCTTCTCTCTGTGATGATCTAGTACAAGTGACAGAATAAAATTATGCAAAACAGGAGAAATTTGCATGATTATATGGGTTTCAAAATCCAGGTTTTCTTAATGAAGAATTTAAATTATGGAATTTCATTTCTTTCTTTCTTTCTCTCTCTCTTTCCTTTTTAAGCATACTGCGTGCACACATGCATACTGGCCATTATTTCTCTTAGAGCTTTCTTTTTCTTCCTTAAGTGTATTTTACAAGGATTTCACTGGATGAGCAAGTTCATTTAACTTACAGTTTAAGATTACACTTAAGGAAGGGAGCCTAATCCTTCTGGCAAGACACTAAGCAGCTTTTGCCAGATAGATGAAAATTCAGTTTACCACATAAAAAAACAAACAACAAAACAAGTGAGATACCAGTAAGTTGTCTGTTACATTAACTGTCTCTGATTATATTTATTTGTGTCTTGAGCTCCTTGAACCAAGAGACGATCTGAACTGATGCAGGATTAAAATCCAACTCCCTGCCCCTGCTTCGTAGAGCATCAGGCAATCAAAGAGCTATGGCCAAGTGTAAAAATGGGAACTCTAGTTCCATTTACTTCTACTAAGTATTGTGCAAGTATCTACGGGTGCATCTTACTTGTGCATCTTTACGTTTTCGGAAATTCAACAGCCATTATTTAGAAATAAGACAGACCTCTTAATTCAGACCTTTCTTACATTCTCTTTCCTCTTGTCTGGTTTTTTTAAAACACTTTTGCCAATTGCTTTCATTCCCTCCCCTCCCTTCGTTGTCTTCCTCACACCACTGCCAAAATTTAGGCCCTTGGGGTAGGGATCTGTCCCATTCCCACCAACCTTCTGTTAACATATCAAGGGGCACATACAGTGAAGGTGTTAAAAGTAAAAAAGAAACGGGTGGAAGACTTGCCCCCAAATCCAGGTGCCAAGTTATTTCTTCCACTTCTTCTCTAAAAGTTATGGCTGTAATCCTTATATACTACCTGAAGGTCCCACTGAATTCAACAGAACTCTGAGAGTACAACTACAACAATATACTATAAGGCTCCATTCAAAGCATTCTAAAACGACAACAAAGCAAACCTTAGTCTAGATATACTACAGTCTATCTTTCAACATAGAAATGAGTAAAAGGTAAAGGTAAAGGTACCCCTGCCCGTACGGGCCAGTCTTGACAGACTCTAGGGTTGTGCGCCCATCTCACTTAAGAGGCCGGGGGCCAGCGCTGTCCGGAGACACTTCCGGGTCACGTGGCCAGCGTGACAAAGCCGCATCTGGCAAGCCAGCGCAGCACACGGAAACACCGTTTACCTTCCCGCCAGTAAGCGGTCCCTATTTATCTACTTGCACCCGGAGGTGCTTTCGAACTGCTAGGTTGGCAGGCGCTGAGACCGAGCAACAGGAGTGCACCCCGCCATGGGGATTCGAACCGCCGACCTTTTGATCGGCAAGCCCTAGGCGCTGTGGCTTTTACCCACAGCGCCACCCACGTCCCCTAGAAATGAGTAAGCTGGCCCAAAATAAGCACGGAATACTGCCAAGTAAAAGCAAGTTATGTAGCACAGGTGGTTCTCAGCCCTTAGCTCTGAATTTGTCTAAGGCACTTGCAGCAGAATGGATGTTTCCTGCATTTGACTTAGTCGCACCTTGCTTCAGTCCCCTGCGCGTTAGCTGTATGCAGCCTGGATTACTGTAACACACTCTACAGTCTTACCTCAGGTTACAGATGCTTCAGGTTGCGTTTTTTCAGGTTATGGACCCACCGAAACCCGGAAGTACAGGAATGGGTTACTTCTGGGTTTTGGGGGTTGAACATGTGCAGAAGCACTGAATCGCAACCCGCGTGTGTGCAGACGCGCCACTGTGGGTTGCGAACGCTGCGGTTGCGAACGTGCATCCCGCACAGATCACATTCGCGACCCGAGCATCCAAAGTATGTGGGGTTTCTGCTTTACCCGGTCTGGAAGTTTCAAGTGGTGCAACATGCAGCAGCAAAAACAATTCAAGGGGCTGGACGCTTCAATTGCACTGACATTGCACTAGTAACTTTGGCTGCCTATGTATTTCCAGGTCCAATGTAAGGGGCTGGTAATAGCTCTTAATACCCTAGAGTCTGGGGCCAATAAAGACTTTTCTGTTCTGGTCAGCGTTTGGATGATTTTTTATTTTGGTGCTGTGTTTTAATAACTGTTTTATCTGCTGCTCTGATTTTGGCTTTGTTTCTTTCATGTGATTTTAGTAATATGGTTTTCGTTATTATGTTGGACTGCGTTGGAAAGGTAATGACCCTAAAAAGGTGGTTTAAATAGCTATTGAAGTAAAATAAATAAATAAACAGAAGAGAATTTGATGTCTCCACTCTGAGAGTCCACTAAACTTTGTAGAAGGCAACCCCTGCCTCCCCTTTTTTGTTTAATTTTAATGCCGGTGTTGTTGTTCAACAAACAGTACTTAGGAAAGCAGGCTTCATCATCTTCTTTGCCAAAAGTGGAGCAAAATTACGAATGAGACTTGGAGGATGGATCTGGCATGAAGTAAGTGATGACATGGGAATGTTCCTAGGCATGGCCAAGTCAACTGATTAAATTAGCCCGTTTAAATTTGCCTAGGGCACAAAGCAGCAGTTTAGAAGTCCCTCAGGGCCTATTAGCTCAGCGTGACCTTCTTAACAAGGGCAGACTATGCTGATCTGAACGCTGCTATTTTTGTAACCTCATGAGCTGAAAACCTTCCTTTGAAAGGCTTGGATGTTCTACACCAATTTGTTTCCTTTTCTCTTATGTTGTGTGCAGGAGAGAAAACAATCGGTTCCAGAGGATCAGAGAAAGCTGGAAATAGCCTGGGGGTCATCTAGTTCATACCAAACCAGATTTCTTCACACGCCAATATGCTCTGCCCCATTCCCCCCCCCCCAAGAATTCATGTTACAGAGTGCCACAAACAGAACCAACCGAGTCTGTGTGCACACTGTCCATTTAAGGCACATTTAAAGCACAGGACTTCCCCCATAGAATTCTGGGAACTGTAGTTTCTTAAGGGTGCTGGGAATGGTCAGCTCTGTTAGGGCTTTGGGAATTTTAATATCTATAGAGCTTTGAGAGAGACTGCCTCCCCACCAGTGTTACGTTATGTTTTTCTATTAAATACTTATTGAAATATTACTAAAATGCTAGCATGAATGGCCAGGGTTCCTGTTCCCCGGGAGAGCCTCTACACGTTTAGCTGCCTTCCTCTCTGCATTCGTGTCCCCCAACATGTGGATGATGTACTGGCAGAGCTGCCAAGGGATGCAGCTGTGGGGCAGCAACTTGGATGAAGTCAAGCTGGCCTGGTTGGTGCCAGGATAGGAATCTGCCTTGCATCCCTATATCTGCCACCTTGAGTTACACAGAGAGCAAATAAGAACAACAAATAAATAGAAATTGAACCCCCATGGAGCATGTAATTAAAAGCTTTCGGGATCCAAAGTTGTTCTTGTCACTGAGTCAACACTACAATAGTCTCAATGTTTTCAACAGCAACAAAAACTTACCCAAACACCCAGCACTGAGTTCCTACCCTTTTGCACTGTGTGTCTGTGAGATAAGCATAGTATTGCCTGGAAGTAAAAACAGAGGAGAAAATTTCAATGAAACAGATAGTTGCACATGTAGGTTATAGTTAGCAAAAACAACTGGGGAGGGGCTGATATTCAATTTTCGGAGAAAGCAGCTCAATTACTTGGAACATGGTAAAGGCTCAGCCATATCCAAGAACTACCTCAAACTTCTCTACTGCTACTGCTATCTTGGAGATCAAGTGAATGTGACAATTGTAAACCAATGACTGAAACTTGGTCAGCGATAAAGAGGGATGTACAACTGAGGATGAGAAAGGGGGCAGAAAAGTCAGCTAGCATGTCAATGGAATGTCTGTTTGCCTGAATGCAGCCACACAAAGGAGCACAAAGCAGCCACAGCCCTAAGCTTAGATTGACTTGTCTGCATTTTCTGCCAATTGTCTCTATTTTAATATTGTAAGTTGTTTCTTCTACTTTTTTCCTTTTGAAATTGAGCTCCTGTGAGATTTGACTGAGGAAAGAAAGAATCAGAATTTAGAAATTAAGAAGCGATTCAGGACAGAGATCTTTTGAACAATGGGAACTAAGACTTGTAATCCTTTGCACCTTTACCCAGAGTAAGCTCCACTGAATAAAAATGTGTTTTACTTCCAACAAAAAACTGCACTGCATGGAAATCTGTTGAATGGGAAACAGAATTGTGCTAAAAGCTTTTCAGGCTTGTAGCCAGGGGGGCGAGGAATTATTGAACATCTGGAATATACATTTGCCTAACACACTTGCTGTCATTTCACCTGATGTTTTACAGGTGATTTTACATTCCCTGACATGCTTGTTGTTATTTAATTGTATTAAGTGAGCAATTGGGTGGAATGCCCTATGGTCCTTTTTGGACATAGCAAGCCAGGTTTCCCTAACCAGATGCTCTCTAGGGATTTTGGACTACAAGTGCCAGCACTTCTGACCACTGCCCATTCTGACAGACTGATGGAACTCAGAGTCCAATCCCCGAGAGAGCACCAGGTTGAGGAAGGTTGCCCTAAACCTTAGCAGCAGTGAGGCTGGGGCTTGTGTGCTCTCCGCTTCTCCTTTGGCAAAGCTGTGAGAAGGAGATCAAAAGCGCTGCTTCCTGTTTCCAGACTCTGGTTAGTTTGAGCTATGGCTTTTTTCAAACAAGTCAAGATCAAGTTTGTGATTCAAGGACCCGCCACCCGCTTGGGGATAAGAAAGACACATGGAGACAGTATATTAGGTTAATGGGCTAAACAACTTTAGGCCACAACTTTATTGATTACAGCATGTGAGAGGTATTGGCTTAGGCATTGAATAAAACAACAGAGTGTGACTCCACCCCCCTCAGGGAGGGGTGAGTCTAACAAGGGTTAACCACCAGTGGGAGGAGCCTGTTGATGCAAATACAACTGAAAGCTCCCCCTGATGTCACCGGGGGTCGTGCCATGGCCCTAGCCACCAGCAAGGGCGTCGGACAGGATCCACGACTGCCGGATTCCTTTACCGGAATACCCATAAAGTGGAGGGGTAGGCGATGGCCACACCCTGCCCTCCAATACACAAACATATTCCAATGCCTAACCGCCAATACCTAAAAGTTGTGACGATTTGCTACGAGGTAGGCGAAAAACCAAGTGGCCGGTGCCAATTTGCCAGTTGGATAAAAATTCCTACCAGGCCCCCTGCCAACGCGGGAAATGGCTCCTGCTCACAACTCCTCCCCTCTGTAAGGAGGAGAGGCTTTTTCAAACAGGTCAAAATCAAACAGTGGCTTGTTTTAAGCTAAGCAGAGTTCCCTGGTTTAGACATAATGGAACACCCTGGTTAGTTTAAAAGCAGAGGCAGATGTTTCCAATATCTCTTTCATTCGGGAGGGAAGACATGAACATGAGGCTTGTTGCTGCTCATGTGTGTAACACTAAATTATGGTTTAGCTTTACATCCAAACCAGGTTTTTTTAATCTCCAAAAGTAAGTGGGCTGAAGCAAAGGCAAAGAACCTGTGACCACTCAGATGTTGTTGGATTCCATCTCCGATCAACCACAGCTGGCTTGGTGAGCAACATCTGTAGGGCCACACTGGCTCCCAATTTCTGAGCTGGGCTTTTTGAGGTCCCCAGCTACTGGCCAGCAATTTTACAGTGAAGAAGATTAAACGAACAAAAAGTACCTCACAGTGGGCGCTGTGATAATTCCAATGAAGAGGATCCTACCCCAGCTTAAGGGGTGACTTGCATGGAAAACAAAGATATGTTTCAAGAAAAATGTGTTCAGCTCAGTCAACTAAAAGAAGAAGAAACAGAAAGAAGAAAATAAGCTGGGAACATTTGATATCCTAGACAAATATGACAGATGCAACTCCTTAGCAACTGCTTACGGTCTGCTCCAGGACAATAAACATATGGCACTCCTGGTGGCCTGTGGAGAATTGTTGTCCCCATTAGGAACAGTAAATTATAAACTCCACAAAAATAAATTCTTTGGGAAGGTAATCAATACATTTAAATGCCTGTGTTTGGGAGCTAGATAAACATACTGCTTCGTTTTTCTCTGTGTGTACAACTATGGAGTCAATTTACTTTTCTTTGCAAAAGCAACATTTTATTGCATCCGGCCTACCTTTATATAGCATGAGAAGCAGATTTTGTAGTACCAATATAAAGTATCACACTTGTAAATGATTAAATTGATTTGTCTTATTTTTACCACCATGAGGACTACATCTGGATTTTCTGTGTCAGGCACCAGGCAGTTTTGTCATATCATATAGTTTTATTACAACATTTTTTATGCTACACTCCCTCAAGGAAGCTAAGGGCAGCACAAACAGTTCTTTCCACCCATGTTATCTCCATAACAGTTCTGTGGAATGGATTGGGCTGAGAGACAGTGACTGATCCAGAGTCACCCCAGTTACAGCTGAGTGGAGGTTTGTTACTTGGTTCTCTCCAGTCTTGGTCTTACACTCTTAACACAGGTATGGGGAACTTGTGACCCTCCAAATATTGTTAGATTCCAAGTTCTATAAGCTTAAGCCAGCATGTCAACAGCTAAAATTTGGAAAGTTTTAAAAAATATTTCTGGCTTCGTTCAGTGCCTTTTTATAAACATGGGTTGTTTTTTTTTAGCTTTTACTGTTTAGGTTTCATGCTGCTTTTACTTTATGTGCTATTTTTTTTGTAAGCCGTTTTGAGTTATTTTTCATAAGTAAGCAATTAATAAGTGCAATTAATGATAAAAACGAATTGTGGTGAAATAAAAATTCAAATACCTATTTTCATATGGATTTCTTTTTTAAAAAAACAACAACGCATTGCTGCAGAAAGGAGAAGGGATGGATTTGTGAATGAACACAGGTGAAACTAACGCAAAAAGGAAACAGCCTGATCCAGTCAACCCAAGCTGAGAATCCCTGGGCTTTGTTTTCAATAGGTTTGCTGTTGTTGTTTTTACCTGCCAGATAATCATGAAAAGGTATACTCCAGCCACTCTTTGAAATGAAGACTTGGGATCAAACCAGCGAACGTAGGTCCAGCTTGCTGGAGTGAACTGTAACACAGCTCTCTTGATTTTACCTGTGGTGGTGTGAATGTCCCTGAAAGCAGAGAAGGACAACAGTAAAAAAAAGAGAGAGAAGGAAATCAACATTGCATTGCTATGTAACAAATGATGTAAAATAACACAGCTCTATTATACTGGGGTTTGTAACAAGAAAGGTGCATTTAAGAAGCAGACCTATTGTAATTAAGCAAACAGAAGAAACCTGCCCCAAAGCAAACTTTTCCACATGCGTGATTTGCTCCTTAAATGCAACAAAGCTGAAATTTGGGGGTTAGTCATAGAGTAGACCCATTTAAATTAATGGACATGGATAACTTAAGAGTCTGCTTGGAGAATAACTTAGTTGGAAACATCCCTTAATTTCCAATGCTATCAAAACACCAAGCTTTCAAAAAAGCAAAAAAAAAACCCAACACTTCTCTGGGGAAAAGTGTCTGAAAGATCTGAGAGTCAAGACCTCCCTATTTAATGTTAATAATTTAATTATCATGCTTCTAATTAAGGGCAAATAAGCATAAAACCACAAATTTTACTAACCAGAACCAGCCAAACAATTTTATTTTATTTTGGTATTTACAGTGCTCCTGAAGGTTGGGAGACCATCTGGGGCAGCAGCCCATGAGGTGAAAGAAGGGGTAAGGCTCTCAGAAGCACCAGATTAAGAAGCTTAGAAACACCCCTCACAGCTTCCTGAGTTGCCCCATGTCCCATGATGTTCAGAGTAAATCTCTCCCTCACAGCTAGCGCTGAACACAAATCAAATTAACAACAAAAAGAATCAGAATGTTGTACTCATTTCAAAATAATAACCGGGAAGTAACACAGAAAGTGACTTCCAATGTTCTGGTAAAATCAAAACATCATCAAATTAATTTAGATTCCTGTGTAATCTACTGTTAGCTGGATAAATGAATCCATGAGTGTGTATCAGGGATAAGAAACCTGTGGCCCTCTGTCTATTGTAGGACTCCAGTTTCCATCAGACTCAGCCAGCAAAGTCCAACAATATCTGGGTCACAGGTAGTGAGGTGAATCTGAAAAAACAGTCCTACTTTTCTTTTACTTTATGCTTTTATTTAACATTTTGGACATTATTGGCCATGGTGTGTAGCAAACAGTAAGAGGATGGGGAACAGGAAACTTAACTGTGCATGAATAGAGGTACTTTCCTTTCATTCATAGGGTTCTTTGAATGCTGGCTTCTAGCAACAAACCCAGTGGATTTAATTACCGTATTGGCCCGAATATAAGCCACACCTTTTTTTCCAAATTCCGACTCTGAAAAGTTAAAGTGCGGCTTATATTCAGAGCCGAGCGCCAGCACCGGTAGTGCCAGGAGGCAGGCCGCACCCGCAAATAAGCCTTGAATTTCAAAGGTGAGGCTTATAGTCAGGCCAATACGGTACTGTCAGCAATGATAGTGGGTTTTATTTCCTTTATCTTCAGCAAAAACAGCAGCGCTAAGTATGTAAGGCATGCAGAAAGGTCAGCTTAGATTAAAGGTCCGAATCACATGGCTAAGTGCAAAGCGACAACATTCCTAATCCCCACTCCTAAGGAGTACAGGATCAAAGTTTAGAATGGAGGCTCTTTTCTCAGAGGTCTACAGAAAGAAAATCGTTTTAGGAATATGCTCTTGGCAAAAGTTTCATGAGGAAAACAAGCGGGTGAAATAGGAGGCCTTTAAAATACAGTTTTCATCTACTGCATTATAAAAAGGATTATCAGGAAATGGTGTACCGTTCAGAAGTTTGGCCCTCACACTCCAATTCTGAAATATTAACTATATATTATTAAAAACCATGGGTGAGGTTTACTTGGATTTTATCAATATAGTAAGACAATAGAAGTAAGGTGTATGTTCCATACTTATATGGGTGTCGCTTTGGAGAGTTATTTTGGTTACACGAGTAACAATGCAATCCTAAAAATGCTTACTCAGAAGTAACGCCTACTGTGTTCAGTAAGGCTTATTTCCAGGAAAATGTACACAGGATCGCACCATTAGAGGTAAAATCAGAGGCTGATGGAAATCAAATGTGAGCGCAAGGGACCATGAACAATTACAGACTCTCCCCTTGCTTATTAATGGAAATAACATTGTAACACATTCATAATGTCATGATCCACCAATGATGCCAAGGAAATGGATTTAAAAATAAATCACAGCACCGATACCAATTTAGGAATCACCCAAGACAGTGAACATAGAACATGAAAGCAGCCTTGCCGGATGAGACCAAAGACCCATCTAGTCCAGCTTCCTGTTCTCACAGTAGCTAACCAGAGGCCTATGTGATGCAACAGCACTCTCCACACTCATGTTCCCCAGCAAGTGCTATGCAGACGCATGCTGCCTCTAATAGACTGGGGCTGGATCCAGACACATCAAAGAATCGTTCCAGTTAAACGCATTGTAAACTTTGTATGAGGAATCGGGTTGGCAAAAATGGAACTCCACAGCGCCACCTGGTGTCACAGTGTTAGAATGCATGTACAACGCATATGCCAATGTAGCTGAGTCCTGGGTCTGTAGCACCACATGCCTTGTGATTTCCCGGGTACAAAATTTAATCTAACATGAGGTTTTAGATTTGGGCTAGCCCTGTATTACAAACTGTCGCAATCCAGTAAATATTTAGCATTTCCAATTTAGGGATTCAGAATTATCGGCATGAATATATTTTAGCAGCCTGCAATGGGAAAACCTCCACAATTCACAATCTACCAAACATTGCATTTTATTTCAGAGTTTTCATACTGCAGTATCGTTAATATAATGGTTATTTGCTTGTACTTGAGACCTACTTGAAGCTTGCCCAGTGATAGGTCCTCATCTCCAACCAACGACAAACTACCATGCCCAACCAGATGCCACCCCCGTTACATAGCAGGATGTCCAAAATGACTTGATCCCACCAGCATTCAGCAAAATTAGGCAGCAGGTGCATGAAGAACAGCTGCAGAATACAGCAAAAAGATTCTGGGTAAGAAATTCATTCAGACAAAGGTATCTCATTAACATCAGAATGTGACTTTTACAGAAGTTACAGGTGCTGAAAATACAGGAAATATTTTTCATACAACAGGTGAATTTGACCAAAGTCTATCAACCTACAGCTTCAGAGGGCTCTAGATCAGTTTGCACTTCTTGGTGAGAAAGCATTATTACACTTTCCCTCTGTGTGTTTCCAAAAGCTTACTGAGGAGACATGCATAGGGTTGCACTGTAAAATCAGTGCTGCAAATATTGCCTTTTCACTAGAAGATTTAATATTACAGGAGACACAAATTATAGGAGGAAGTACTACACTACTGGTTTTAATTTAGGGAACATAACTGAGACAAGCTGCACATACTATATAGTAATACTGAAGTCTATATTCATCCAGTATATTTCCAAGTAATTCAGTAAATAACTTACTTAGATCAGTGTTTCCCAACCTTTTTTGGGCAAAGGCACACTTGTTTCATGAAAAAAATCTCGAGGCACACCACCATTACAGCCCCGTGACGTCAGCGCGCAGCGTCACGCCGGGAGGGACGCACGAAAGTGTAAGTTTCAATTTTTTCCCCTCCCCCTTGCCTTCCTTCTGTGCCAACCGCCAAAAAGCCAAGAAAAAAGCCAAGACTTTAGGGCAGCAGGTCGACACGGAAGAAGCTCCTACCTAAGGACAGGTGCGACGGCCGTGTCCTCTTCTGCCACACTTGGCAGCCCTGCCTCACGGTCGTGACTCCCACCCTGATTTCTCCCCGCAGGTCGAGCGGCACAGGCAGCCCAATGTGTCCAGCCCAGACACAAGCCCCGCTTCCCCACTCTAGATCCTGAATGCGACCAAGTGCTCTGGACTCCCGAGCAGGGTGGGAAAGAGGACTCGCATCTGGTAGCCTCCGGGCTCCTCGCCTGCTCGAGGGATGGCATTGCAGGCAAGCTATGTTGCGCCTGGTGCGGCCGACACCCTTGGCACCCCCCACGCTACGCCACTGTTCCAACGTTCAGCTTCACTGGATGCCCACGAGTTATATTGTACGGAGAGAGGGATAAAAACTTTCCTCTCTGTCCACTCTCTCCTTGCCATGCCTAGTTTTGCAGGCTTCTCTCCTGTCGCCTCTTGCTTGCCTTTTCTCTAAACTAAAAAACCCAATGCTGCCGCCTTTCCTCAGGGCACCGGCTCCATCCCCTTGCTTAGATTCCCTCTACCAAAGCTGAAAGCAGCCTGAAGTTCCTCCTGATCGTGAATGGGAAACAGCTGGCGAAGCCGGTGGCCTGCCAGGGAAGGGATCTCTTCCTAACTCCTGCTCCACGGAGCCCGTTCCTTGCAAGCGCTCCCTGTCCCTCGGATGGCGAGCGCCTTTGGAAATGCGGAGCAGGCGCTTGCCGGCGAGCAGCCCCCCCCCGCTCCTTCCCAAGCTAATCCTTTTAAAACCGAAAGCCCCTTAACCCGCTGGCGAGAGGCTTAGCCGGGCCTCGCCCGCCCACCGGCTTCCTCTCGGAGGTTTTTGGGGAGCGCGCGGCGAGGCCCCTCGGAGCTCTCCTCCCTCCCAGTCGGCAGAAGCAGCCGCCGCCTGGGGCTGGGCCGAGGGGATGGCGGCGCGTCGGGGTGCAGAGGCTGCCCGTGCCCGGCCAGGCGTCGGTGGCGGCGTCGGCACTGCTGCAACGGCTGCTCCTCCTGCGAGCAGTGAGTGGAGCGCAGCCGCGGCGGTGGCGGTGGTGGTGGGGAGCCCGGCGGAGGAAGGAACTTGTCCCTTCCCTCTGGACTCGCGCCTCCCCAGATGTTGCGCCCGGTGCGGCCGGCACCCTTGGCACCCCCCACGCTACGCCACTGTCCCCATCGCCAGCCCCGCAAACTCGGGGGACAGCGGGAGAGGCACAGCGCGCCCTTGCCGCTGCCCCCCGACTTGGCTGGAAGGCTGGCGGGGGGAGAAGCCTGCTCCTCCCCATCGCCAGCCCTGCAAACTCGGGGGACAGTGGGAGAGGCGCAGCGCGCCCTTGCCGCTGCCCCCCGACTTGGCTGGAAGGCTGGCGGGGGGAGAAGCCTGCTCCTCCCCATCGCCAGCCCTGCAAACTCGGGGGACAGCGGGAGAGGCGCAGCGCGCCCTTGCCGCTGCCCCCCGACTTGGCTGGAAGGCTGGCAGGGGGAGAAGCCTGCTCCTCCCCATCGCCAGCCCTGCAAACTCGGGGGACAGCGGGAGAGGCGCAGCGCGCCCTTGCCGCTGCCCCCCGACTTGGCTGGAAGGCTGGCGGGGGAGAAGCCTGCTCCTCCCCATCGCCAGCCCTGCAAACTCGGGGGACAGCGGGAGAGGCGCAGCGCGCCATCCCGCTGTCTCCCGACATGGTTTGGAGGCTGGCGGAGGGCTTCCTCCTCCCCCAGCCCCGCAAGCTCCCAGAGCGATGCCAAAGCTGCGCGCAGCTTCGGCATGGCTCTGGGTCCCGTTCTGGGGGAGGGGGAAGCTCGGGCTTCCCCCGCCCCAGCCCCACGCCTGGCGGTGGGGGAATAAATTTTTTCCCCTTTATTCCCCCCCCACCAATTTTTCCCGCGGCACACCAGGCAACGTCTGGCGGCACACTAGTGTGCCGCGGAACACCGGTTGGGAAACACTGACTTAGATAAAGGTAAAGGTAAAGGTACCCCTGCCCATACGGGCCAGTCTTGACAGACTCTGGGGTTGTGCGCCCATCTCACTCAAGAGGCCGGGGGCCAGCGCTGTCCGGAGACACTTCCGGGTCACGTGGCCAGCGTGACAAAGCTGCATCTGACGAGCCAGCGCAGCACATGGAACGCCGTTTACCTTCCCACTGGTAAGCGGTCCCTATTTATCTACTTGCACCCGGGGGTGCTTTCGAACTGCTAGGTTGGCAGGCGCTGGGACCGAGCAGCGGGAGTGCACCCCGCCGCGGGAATTCGAACCGCCGACCTTTCGATCAGCAAGCCCTAGGCGCTGAGGCTTTTACCCACAGCGCCACCCGCGTCCCTAACTTACTTAGATAGGCTGACTTAAACATGAAATAAATCTGATTTGGCCATTCCAGACACTTGTGTGCAAGAGGAAAACTTCACATCTAGCATGTGTGTCAAATTTAAGGAGCAGACAATAAACTTGTGTTATGTTTGCAATGTGGACAAACTGCTAGGAGAGCCACATCAGTCATTCCCCACCCCAAGGATATAAAAAACTCCTCACTGAGAAGACGCAACCTACCTCGGTTAGCTCCCAGGTGATGCTAATAGTCCAGCACAGCCCATAGCTACGGATTAACAAAGCCTTCATTGCCCAGCCCCAGAAATGTCCAAAAGCAAATATGTCAAAATGGCTGAGGATTCGCTCCCAAGTAATAACATGGCAGTTCACAGCATATTCCTGTTGTTGATTTGGAGAAAGGGGAAGGTAGGTGTGTGTGTGAGAGAGAGAAGCAGAAGTTACAAGTCTATTCTGGAAACATTTTCGGAAGAAATAAAACTGCAGACTACAATATCAGACTATTAGAGAATGCTATTTACTCGTCTTATGGTCCGCTATAGCTTAGCCTTGTATTATCATTAGTTTATATACCATTTAATGACAAAGTAGGTTTCTATGCAGGCTGCAGTATAAAAACAAATTGTGCAAGCATTAAAACATAAATATCCGTTAATTAAAACACACAACTGAACAAAAGGTAAGTGCATGCTTTTATATAGCTGGATTGTAATAATGAACATGATGATCCTTTGAGAATGGCTAACAATGTAACTCTGCACATGTTTACTCAGAATTAATCCCCACTGAGTTCAACTGGACTTACTCCCAGATAAGTCTAAATAGTATTGCAGCCTAATTCTTTTTATTATTCTACTGGTCCTCATCACAGTACATGACTGAATGAAACACAATAAAAATTCTGTTTTCTACATCATTAGGGATCATTACTGCCAGATATGGAATATTCTATGTTTTAACCAAAAAAGGGGGCAAATTCTGCAACCTAAGTAAATTATACAAATAAGCATGCATTTACCTGCTCTGCTTTATTTACTCAAGGAGCAATACAGAACACCTATAAATGCCCCACTCCTGAAACACTGCCTTTGGTCTGAACAAGTTTTGTTTGCCCTCGGTGACATGGAGTGATAGTCAACTAAATTTTATTCAAAGTAAACCCTCTGAAAATAATGAACATGACTAAATTGGGTCAGAGTAGGACTTCGCTCAATACCACCCATAGTCACACAGCCAAATTGAACGGACTGCACATTGATGTCACTGTTCTCAGGAAGAAGGGCTGTTTTTCAAACAAAAAACTGCACTCAAGCTGCAGCCAAGAAGGCCGTGAAGAGACTCATAAATGAATATTCACACCACTGCGCAAAAACGGGGCAGGCAGGTTATGCCATTTCTTTGCGACTCTCTCACAATTTGGAAAGCGGGGAGAAATCCTCCTCCCCAAGAGAGATGCATTTTGCAAGGAGAAAGAAATGTCTGTAAGGTTCACCCTCTCATATGCCTCATCCCTGCTAAAAAGGCCACAAAACTTTAAACTTCCTGTTAGAGAAGATGCTTCAACCTCCCAACCATATCCAGTATCTTTTAGTGGTGCAGCAATAAAACTGCTAGCCCATTTGCAAAGCTAAGCAGAGTCCAGTATGGTTTCAAACTGGATGGGGGACATGTTGAAATTCTTGCATTGCAGGGGACTGGACTAGATGACATTCGGGTCCCTTCCAACTCTATGATACTAGTATATTATTGCATGATATTTGAACTTTCTTACAGTGAGGATTGGAGAATTCCTATCCCTTCTCAAAGGGATAATGCATGCTATTCTAACACAGCAATATGGTAGCACTATATCCACTCTGGAAGAAATATATTTTCTTGCAACACCATCAATACACACCATGATGTCTGCTTCCCTTGTCGCATATCGGAGATTAGGATCGAGCCAGTACATCACGGATTTCACCTGCTCAAAGTTAAGGAAGAGCAGGAATGCCAGAAACAGAAAATAGAGAACACTCAAACCTGTAGGAAAACCAAAGTCAGATGTCCAAATGTTTGTTTGAAGAGCAATAGCTAAAATCACACAAACAAACCATGTTATATCAATGCCAATGGAACAATTTAGAGCAATAAAATCAAAACAAAAGAATAATAATGAAGTATTCATAATTAAGCAGCTTTCGGAAGATTCTTCTCATACAATTCCACATGGCTAGAAATCTCCCCCGCCCCCATGAGGTACATGTGTGAAAATGTGAAATGTTGCATTCACATGTAACAGAAAAAGGAGCAAAACAAATGAGTATTGGACCATGAGGTACAACCCAGATTCTTCATAGAACTTATCCACCATAGTTTATTCACAACCCTCTAGAATGTGGCAGTTCTTGATAAGTTGTTACTTCATTCTAACCCCACCGTCATGGTTAAAGAGGTCACACTCAAAGAGGAATTTAAGCATCCCGTGGCAGCCAAGAGGTTTATTAATCCATCAGTCATAAAGCAGATGCAACCTTGGGTAGGTTTTTGAAGGGCATCCAAACTATTCATGTTGGAAATTCAGCTGTAATCATAATAGCTACAGCTGCTCCACATGCCAACAGATTATATTTGTACAGGGTGACATTTTTGAGAATACTGCTCAGTGCCTTAGGAGGCCGAGTCCCATTTTCCAAAGCAATTCTGGAACACTTGAGAACTGTCTCCAAATCTTTCCATACATTAAATATTAACATTGTTGTGAAATGTTCATTAAGATGCTGCAAGAAGGGAGACTTGCTGTACCTTCCAACCACCCCATTCTTGAGAGCACTAGAAACTGCCATGATGATGATGATTTATTATTTATTATTTATAGCCTGCCCGTGAGCGGAGAAGTGATTGGGTACCAACGAATATTTGCATCTTGCTCTCCTGCCGTTGTTCCATTCTCAATTTCCCTTTTCAAAACTCCAGTGTATTTGCATGCAGATACAATTAAGTCGAAACTGAATTTACATGACCAAGTGTCCTTTGCAATACCAATTAAATTTGCAGTCACAGGAATTCTGATCAACATCAGAGGGCTTGATCTTAGTGCCATCTCAGGAGATTTGGTGAGTAAGCACTAGAGATGGGAGCCTTCTTCTGTAGTGATTCTTTGACTTGGGAATGTTTTCCTAATTATTTATTTGTTGAGCTCACTCTTTCACCAGAAACTGAAATCACTTCTGCCGCAACAGGCATTTAATGCATACCACTTCGTTCTACTGCTGCTGGTTTTAATGTGTAACATGTTTTGTTCTTGCTGCTCTTAGGCTTTTTATTCCGTGTTAAGGACTGGTTAACATTGCAAGTTCTTTTCCTTCCTTTTTCACTGATTAAGTTATATGGTTCTATGATTATGCAGTATGTCACCCTGGGTACTTTTAGCAGAATGGCAGGAAAAATACAGTATTATTTTCAGGTAATGAATTACTATTTTTTAATGCTCTGGAATAGCGTGAAAGCACATCTTTAAAAACAACTTACCAAAAACCATACGCCATATTGCAGGGTGTGGGCGAGTGAAAGGCCCTGTAGAGAAAAAAGTTTTTCAATAACAGCAAACTGATGGATCAGAAAGAATTGCAACAGGTCATCTAAACATAATCTGAAGGAAATGCAACCATGCCAACCAAGAATCAATCCTGAGCAAGCTTTATAACAAATCAAGTTTTCTATTTAAAGCCATTAAAGGAACTACTGAGACTAATATCTGGATAAAGACACAGATCCTCAAGAACTTGTTGTTGGCAACACTGTAGAAATTACCATGGTATCCAAAAAACAAGGCTCTCTAAGTTGTGAAAACAGTAATAGAAAAGTAAGTGCCCAACTTCATACCCAAAAGCAGATGAGGATCTGCAGGAAGATCAATGCTTGCCAGCAGGAATTCCCAGGTAGTGGGAACATTAGTGCTGGCATATCAGGGAATTGGGATACATTAGCAACTGGGAAAGGCAGAAGTGAGTGTGCGGGCCTGAAAATTATGAGTTTACAAGTGAAATGTTTGTGAGTGTAATGGTTCTGTCGAGGAGGAAGGGAGATATTGTGAGGACTGTGTGCGTACAAGCACACACAAATACACACACTGCATGTCTTTGTGTACTCTATGCGCAGAGATGCATTATATACACCACTACAGAGGCCCTTGTCAAGAAAGCCAGGATTTCCAGAGTTGGGAATGTGGCCAGGGGTTGCCATCCTTTCATTTACCATACTTTCCATGTTCAGATTTTGCGTCCTTCCCATTCAAGTCGCACCCCCAGCTGTGGCCCACATTTACTTTGACCCATGGAATGAAGTACTGAGCTAGCCCCTGCCTGCCTGCATTTTCAGTGGGAGATCCATTTCTTTGTCCGATGTGAGTGTATCTAGGAAACGGTTTTTACATATACTGTACTATGGAGGCTGCTTAAGGAACACTGGGGCATTTAGTGCCATTATTTTAGGATCCAAGCCAATAACTCAATGAAGTTCGCAGAGCGGAACGAAAGCTTCCGGTCTTCCCGGTGCAGGGAGCTGCTTGGGGGAGGGAAGAATTGCCCCAAACTGGGCAGACCTGTGCATAGTCTGGATAATTCGGACCTCTCTCAGCAGACCCTGTCCCTCATCCCTCATTGTTCACGGAGGCTTCCCTTGATTGCAGCTGATTGCAGGGGAGAAAAGGAGACAGGAAACTTTCTTTCTGTGAACTTCCTTGAGTTAACTCATCTTGGGATCCAAAGCAATTATTTCCAACATCTTGAAACTTGTGGTGAAGGACTTACTGGAATCTAACCAGGAATTCATTCCATAGGGAAAGCAACTAAAAGCCATGGGCCACTCAATAAGGAGTCCCCCATCTACAACTGCTTGCTCAAAGCTTGTCCAAGGAGAACCCCTTTTTGTATCTCCAGATGTTTAACAAGCCTTGGAACTAGTTCTCCTTTTGCAACCATATTCATCAGTATAGAGTACTGCCACCTTTTTTTGTTTTGCAGCCCATGGCAGCCATTTTGTGCTGGCACCCATTACACTTGTAACAAGACTGGAGTACCTGTGTCTCCTTTTTTACCAGAAAACCCCACTGCTTGGAACAAATCTAAGTGCAACGACTTTAATCAACCTATCAAATTTTAGGGAATTATGAAAATCAGCCAACCAACTAAGATTACTGGAATCTGCTAAGAAATGGAGAGCAGGAACAAGCATGTGTGTAGCACAAGATTGTGATAAAGACAGTTCAAAGCAGGTTACTAATCTAGGATCCCCATGAAAGCCTGGAGGCCCAATCACAGAATATATGTACTATTTCAAAGCTGCAAACCTAAACACAATTACTTAGGAGTTAAGTCCCTGTTAACACAATGAGACTTACTTATGAGTAAGTACTTGAGATTGTGCTGTAAGACTGACAGTACTTTTGTCCTGAGCCCTCAAATTTTATCTCCTCCGTTTCTGAGGTTTACTTTCAAGTCACTTTGTAAAAGGCTAGTTTTCCTATTCTGTGGTTTGTTCCAAATAGGGTACACAGGAGCTTGAATGAAAATAGTGTGAATTCATGTAGAAAAGGAACTAGGTGACTGGCAAAACTGGAGGAAGGGCATGCTAGGCAGGCCACTTAAAACTTCCAGCAAGTCAGTCATTAGATACCACAAAGGATATCAAGTGCCATGCACACAGGTTGATTTCGGGTGGAAAATCGTTCCTCTCGGCTACACCACTGAAATCAATACCTTTTAGAGACACTACTGAGATCAAATACAAATCCAGATTATATGGCTCAAAGCAGCTTAACGTGAGGTGTCCGAAGGCACACATCTGCTCAACTTTGCAGTCTTTGCATTAGAGTTATTTATGTCTGCATTTATCAGGTGCCTGGCTTTGTAACTTATAGCTCAGTGCCCTCTGTGTAAAAATGTAGCCCAGTGCAATCCCAATTATTCCTAGAGGGTATCAGACATCGTTTGATAAATCAGCAGTTCAGATGATGGAGTGGATGCTTCTCTGAAACCCCCCAGCAACAGCGCCACACTGGGAAGGTATTCTGGCTGCTGCTAAATGCTTCTCTTGTAACCTGGTTACCAAGGCAGTACTGACAATCAGGGCAAGGGAACTGGGCCAGTCTCAGAGCAGCGGGAACAAGTCCTCTTAGCAGCAGCTCCATCTCCCTGTGCAAGCGTTCCCTGGTATTCTGCCTCTTGCCAAAAATGCCCAGGACTGAATTCAGCTATAGCTTCGGTCTGAGAGCGCAATCAACTTTACTCACACCAAACAGTTACTATACACAGTTGCTTTTACTGGAAGAAAGCCAGTCACCATCTGCTGCAGATAATGACCACGGCTACTATCTATTCCCATACCAGACACAATGAGATCACTCTAATGTTTCCAGTAAGAGGGGCAGGCGCAAGGCATTGAAAAAATGAGCACTGGGCTTTAGTTAAGCAAGATTTATGGGATGCCACTTCCCTTTCCTCTCTCAGCAGTTTACCTAGGTACAAACCACCCTCTTTTAATCGAGTGTTGATAAACAGGGATAACAGTTGCAGTATGGACCTTCTGATGTGAACCCAGGTCTCAAATTTAAAAATACAATGCTTGTGGGATGAATTGCATAGCAAGTTAGCCTAGTCCAGAGGTGGCTAACCTTTATTTGTCTAGTCCAGAGGTGGCTAACCTCTATTTGGCCCAAAGGTCACATTTACATCTGGAGAACCTTCTGGGGCTGTATACCAGACACAGAGGTGGCCAAAAGGGGGTGCGCCCAACCCCACACTTTTGCACAGGTGTTCTATGCCCCAGCTCAGCTAATCCAGGTTATCATTCGCTGCCTGCTCTCCAAACGATTGATCCAACAACCAGGGTGGGGTCTTTTACATTCCCCATTAGGGTCCTTTGTTGGGAAGAGAGGTGTAAGCCTCTCTGCCCACCCCAGTGCTGTGTCTACTTTATTATTCCCCTCCCTTTTTTGTTTCTGCCACTAAAATAAGTGGCATCTTGAGGGATACATTTGCATGGGGGCAAGGGCTGATCAATCACTGTCCAGTAGAAAAGGGAAACGGATGAGAACATCTCAGGCTGCAGTCCTCATGGAATATAGTGAGATTCACTTCTTAGTAAGCATGCACTGAAAAATCAAGCTGTTAGTGTCTCAAGGCTAATAGGAAGCTGCCTTGAGCCTCTTCAGTTTCAACTCAGAAGTTGCCACAGCTCAACAGTAGTGTACATGCTTTGCATATAAAATGGTGCCAGTTTTAATTCCTGGCATTTCCAGCTAAAGTGCCAATGGGTGCAGATTTCTTTTGGAAATCTTGGGAGAAATGCTGCTATTAATTTAGATGGACCATTGACCTGATTCAACATAAGGAGTTACCCCCACATTATACAAGAAAATGAAACAACACAATTGTTTTGCTCTGATTCTAAACATACCGTATTTTTCGCCCCATAGGACACACCTAGTTTTTTGGGGGGGAAATAAAGGGGAAAAAATTTATTTCCCCCCCAGGCGCGGGGCTGGGGCGGGGGATGCCCACGCTTCCCCTGACCCCAGCCCCCAGAACAGGCTGCTATCCGCAAGCCTAGGGAGCCCGCGGGAAGTCGCACTGGTCTCCCCAGGCTGGCGGATATCTGTCCCCCGAGCTTGTGGGGCTGGCGGTGGGGAGAAGCATGCTTCTCCCCAGCGTCAGCCTCCAAACCAGGTCGGGGAACAGCAGGATAGCAGCGCTTCGCCTCCCCTCTGTCCCCCGAGCTTGTGGGGCTGCCCGATATCTGCACGAAGCCCGGGGTGCGCTGTGCAGCACGCCCCAGGCTTTGGGATGCAGGCTGCTATTCCCGCAGAGCTCCCAAGGCTTGCGGATAGCTTCCTGAAGCCTGTATTCGCCCCATAGGACGCACACACATTTCCCCTTCATTTTTGGAGGGGGAAAAAGTGCGTCCTATAGGGCGAAAAATATGGTATTTATTTTGAGCAGGGCATATGGATTTGCAAGGAGGCTTACATCCAGGTAGGCATGTTTGTGATCACACCTTTTATTTGCATTTAACCACCCCATATCAGAGCACCTCCTCGATTACCATGCAATTATGTGTAGCTTTTCCCCCTCTTTCTTTTTAAAATTCATTTTCTTTGCTGAAGAGGTCAAAGAAAGGGCTCACATTGTTTCACACGACTAATCATAAGAACAAAAGATTTAGAAATTTTAAACTCATTTTCTTTAGATGGAAAAAAGCTGCTTCAGTTTTAAAATGCCCTAATTGGAAATCTTTTTAAGATAGCAATAAAAATGCATGTTATTTCTGTTAAATATTGTTCCAAACTGGCTTTTGCTGTAGTAGGGAAGTAGGGGGAAAGTTGTTAAACACCTTCCCCACCCAGAAAGCTGTTTCCTACCACCACTTCAGGAAAGCAGCACCCACAGCACAGGAAGGGAGAAAGCAAGAACATCACTTTTTGGGAAGGGTATCAAGAGGCACTTGCATATTTATAAAATAAAGCATATAAACATAACTAAAACACATCAACAGAAGACAACAGAAAAGCCTCTATCTCAGCTTTCCCTAAACTGGGGTCGTCCAAATGGGACTCCATCAGCCACAGCCAGTAAATAAATTAGGGCAGTTACCGTCCAAACCATATTGTAGAATTTGAAGAGACCACAAGGGTCACCTAGTCCAACCCCTCCTGCACTGCAGGAATATTTTGCCCAACATGGGGTTCAAACCCACAACCCTGAAATTATAAGGCTCATGCTATACAGCAGGCACCAGGTTGGGAAAGGCTCTTCTATGGGAGCTGCCTTTTTTACCCTGAAACTGCATATGCTGTGTCCGTCAAGAGAACTCTAGCATGCAAGACTTTATTTATTTACTAACTGCAATTGCACGGTTGCCCAACAACGTATGTTCTACTAGTATCTCACGGAAATTAGACTCATCTTTCATTCCTTTTCAAGAGTATACTCTGGAGTATATGTTACTGCCTTGTTTTGCAGCTTGGCACTGCACAAGATGCTCTTCCAGGGACCATCCCTTATCGAGGTGAAAGTCTAAGAGAGACTGGGACCATTCTCAGAGCAAACAATAGACTATTAAACCAGAGTACTCATAAAACAGTTTGCTCCAAAAATCCCCAAGCACCTTTGTGTTTACCTTGCTCTCCTATCTGCAAAAGGAGTTGTAGGGGGAAAAACGGCACAGAAATACTTGTGTTAGTTACTTACCATTCGGAAAGGCTAAAACACTGATGATTAGAAAGAAGAAGATCACACACAAGATGCCTTTCCAAATATTATCTTCTGGGGTTGAATCATCCCTAAAAAGAAAAAGTTGGTAATTAAAACAACAACACAGGAGATTCAGGCTGCAATTCTATGCACATTTATCTGCGAGTAAATTCCACTGAACATAGCAGGCTTGATTTAATCTTTGTATGTTCCTTTCCCAACAACTAAATTGAGCTCAAAGTAGTTCACAGCAATAAAGCATAAAATACAAACATTTTCTAATAGAGTAAGCCCGCCCATTTAACTTGTGCTCATTCAGCTTTATGAGCTGGGGGGGGGGGAATCTTACAAAATTAAAGAGGGTGGGCGTCTAGGGAAAAGACTTTGGCAATCCCACCCGCCATTGTACACAATGCATTTTGACCATATACCATTTTGGCTCTAGGTGCAGTTCCTCACCCCCACCCCACATATGTTGCAGGCTTAAGTTGTGGGGGCACTGTTTCACAGCTATTCCTTTCTTACCTGAAGGATCAGTTCCAGAGAGTAGCATTGGAGAAATGCCCTTTAGCACCCTTGCATTTGTATTATGAGGTTCCTTTGGGGCCTATTTTGTCCCCAATGCTATTTAACAGCTATATGAAACTGCTGGGAGCATTGGAAGATTTAGATCAAAGCGTCACCAGTAAACTGATAACATGTTTCTCCATTTCTCTGTAACATCTGAATCAGGACTGGCTGGGAAGCCTCTGGATCAGTGTCTGGGTACACAGGAGGGCTGGATGAGGACCAGTAAACTGAATTTAAACCCTGGCGAGACAGAGGCCCTGTTGGAAAGAGGTTCCCATGTCTGGCAGAAAGGTTAGTTACCTGTTCTGGACAGGGTTGCACTTCCTTTGAAAGAACAGATACACAGCCTGGGGGTGCTCCCAGATACGTCTTTGTCTAGGCTAAGCCTGCTTTTCACCAGCTTTGGTTGATATGACAGCTATGGCTATTCCTGGACTAAAACAGTTTGGACACTGTGGTCTTGGCACTGGTAAACTCAAGACTGGATTATGGGACTGCAGTGCACTCTATGTGGCGCCTGCCTTGGGCTGAACCCACACTGACACTGTGTAAAACCTCTGCTGAGGGAACTGCGCTAGCTGCTAATATGCTACTAGGTTCAATTCAAGGCTTTGCTTTTAGCATTTAAAGTCCTAAACAGCTTGGGACCAGGTTACCTACTGTGTTCCTCGTACAGGGCACTTCTGAGACTGAAGACATGCCACAGAGGTGCACTCAGTTTGTACTAGAAACTGGGCTCTTAGTATCACAGCTCCAGCCCTCGGGAGTCAATTACCAGCTGAAATTAGACCCAAGTGTCATAATGTTCAGGTGCCTACCAAAAGTTATTTCAGATAAGAAGGCTTTCCCTGGGGTATGACCCAGTCATTTGTGAAATATTAATAGTACATCTGTAGAAATAGCTTAATGGTTTTTTAGATTTTTTGTGTGTATCATTTTCATCTTGTTGCACTCCGCTTCAATGTTTGTAGGCTATGGGCAGTTCATAAATTTGTAAAATAAACAACCCCCATAATGTTTTGGACGATTTGCCTCATATGTGCCAAAAAGACTGTCTACCATTGAGTTAGGCAAAGGCAATCCAGCACTTGAATTTACATTCTTCCCTAGCTCTTCTCTATAGAAAATTATTGTGGCTCCAAGCAACCCCAGCTTTGCATTAAATCAGTATACAAGATATAAAATTTCTTTTTATAAATAACAAAAATGGGGACTATCTTTATGAGCTCTCACACACTTATTCAGAAAGAACTGCACTCCAAATGCCATCTTCTATGGCAGTGAATTCCAGTGCTTTCTATTTAAATAAAAATAAAAAACTTTTCTCATCTGTGTTTCACACCTTGAAAGAAGGAAAAATAGAAGACGGCTGCTTTCAACCTATAGATTTATTCTATTTCAATTTCCCCCACCTTCTGTTGTTATATTTTCCCCACTAGGTTTGGCTTTGCTTTATAGTTGTTCTATGATTTTGCAAACCACCTCAAGCTGTGATAAAGGAAGAATATAGAGGGTTTCAAAGAAAGCAAAACTATTACTGTTATTAACATTAGCACTTAGTTTCGCCTTGAAAATTCTCACAGAAATGAAGGCCACCAAATGCTTATAATAGTAACCAAGGGATACAGGTTCAGGCATCTCAGCTACATTAAGAGATAAAACAATGACACATATTTAAGCTCCTTGAAGCAACGTGCATAAGACGTAGGCAAGATTTTAAAATATTTTTTTAAAAGAGGTCATGACCATGGCTGCATTCATCTTAAGAGCACCTCTCTGAATTTCTGCTAACACACTCACTCTGTCACGTCCTTGTTTAGCACCCAATGTAAGTAATCTGAGGCGGAAAAGGTGATACAGGGCCAAACTAGCGTTGCACGCAGGTGTTGGTTAACATTTCCCTAATGCTTTGTTTTAAAAGAAAGCAGCCTCAGGACACTCCAACCGGGAAGCAAGAAAGCCAACAGTTAGAGATGATGGGTGTAGCAGTTCAGCAACATATGCTCTAGGGCCACAGAAGCAGAGGAGACGGTGAAACAGGAACTTCAGGCTTACCAAAAAACCTGGACACGAGGCGATTTAGGAAGATGGGGAAATGCATGGAGGAACCCAGTTCAAACTGTTTCAATGCCAAATCATCATCTTAGATTATCATCTTGATCTACAGTAAAACAACTTGCCCCTGCTCCCCTTCCATAACTGATGATGAATCAAAACAGAGCATAATCTTGATATGTGGTCATGCCATCACATCAAGACAGGTGTGGCTGGAAGGGTAGTCTTGTGCTATTACAATGCATAATGTAAATTAGCTTGAAATATCAGCCTAGGCACTCTCAGCCTCCAAAATTAGAGACAAATTAGATGTCAAAATTACCATGCATCTGGTAAGTTAGCAATTTGTCGTCATCGTCTTTGCTCTATATTTGCTTTATGAGGCAAACACAGGAGGGGGAACACCTTTGCTTCCTAGCTCTGCCTTTGGCTAATACCCTTGTGCTTCTGGTTGTTCCTTAATCGTGCAACCTCTCTGCCAGGGATTGTGTGGTGCATGGCACAGGCTTGGAACAATAAACATCAGGGCTGGGAAATGGTTGGAACAATAAACATCAGGCAAACTTGTTGCAATGGAGCAGAATTGGCCTCTGTAGCACCAAAGCACATGACCAGAACTAGTGGGTGGAAATTGGAGAGAAACAAGATTTCGACAAAATGTCAAAAAACACCCTCACAGTACAAGCAGTTCAACAGCAGAACAGACTTGCTCAAGAGGTAATGGGCCCTGCTTCACAGAAGGTGTTTAAACAGATGCTGGACAGCTGCCCATCTGGGAAGGCAAGATGAATCCAGCATTAAGCAGAGGGCTGGACTACATGGTCCTTTGCAAATCTACATCTAAGCTTCTAGGGATGGCCGACTGGCAGATCTGGGCACAATTTTTAAGAAGTGTCCTACAGGGTATTACCATTGGTCCACCCAGTCCAGCACTTTAGCCAGTTGCTTCTAGGCATAGGTAGGAAACGCAGACTTCTTGTGCCACCAGTTCCCTGCCCAACTTAATCAAGGTATAGCAAAATATTTTCCCAGTTTCATTCATACAGAAAAGAAAAACAGATCAGAATTGGCCACCCCTATTATTCACACTAACAAGTAGTGACAACGAAGCCGTGACAGTCTCTCTGAAGGACAAAGGAACCATATATCCAAACATCAGCAATAAAGTAAAATCCAAGAAATCAAAACACACATTATCACCAAAAAGGTGAAAATCCACTAAGAGAGGATGATCTGGAAAGTTCATTTGCATAAAAGTATATCACTAGAATTGTCTTCAACAACATTATGAAGGTTTGAAATCCCCCCCCCCCCGAGAAAAGCAACAGGCATTTAAAGAAATTTCAAAAGGGAGAGGAAGGAATAAGCAAATAAATGAGGTAGTTATGTGAGGGAAGAAACCTGAACCCTTACATCTCCAGCTTGATCACTGAGATCATCTGCAGGAGCATCACTGGTCCCCCAAGTTGGCAAGATTCATCTGACAGCAACAATAACCAAGCCGGCTAATTCCTGTGGAATCCTCTGCCAATAGAGCTTCAGCAGGTGCCTTCTGTTTTAACCTTTAAATGCCTGCTGAGAAGTTTTCTATGTCAGCAAGCTTATGCAGGCAATTAAGAAAATATATATTCCTGTAATAGTAAATAGACAGTCTCCAAATTCAAATTTTTGCATGGTTTTATTGCATGAAGATACTGTTGTAAACACTTTGCTATTTTTTATGATATAGCATTATATAAATAGTTTTTATAATTAAATAAATGCAGCTGGTCCCAGCCGGGCCAGTGAAGAGGGGCTCACAGTATCATCTCTTTATATGATACAGCCATATAAAATAGTTGTGGAGTTGACTGAGACACTCTAGAGCTGTATATACACCATACATTTAAAACACATTGTTTCTTCCAAAGAATCCTGGGAACTCTAGTACATTCCTCAAATTCCCATGACCCTACAGTCCCCAGGATTTGGGGGGCGGGGGGGGGGCGGATAATGTGCTTTAAATGTGGGTTCACAGCCCAGGACTAGAGGAGCCAATTAGCTGCTGGTCTTAGCCAGACTCATGGAAAGAGTCTCTGTATATCACCGGTACTTATAATGTGGGTTCACACGTGAGCTCGCACCCCATGGAAAGTGAAGGAACGTGAATCAGCTGCTTTGGCCTGTAAGCTTCCTTGCTTTCCTTCCTTAGTGCTTGGTTTATTTAGAAGAGCCCAACAGCAAGGCATAGCAATGCATTAGTTTTCTATCTTTGCCTTCCCAGCTTTGTCTGCAGAGACTCATTGTGCCGGGGTTTCATGGTCTTCTACACATAGGACTTATTGATGGGCCCTTAATTTGATTTTAACAGGCTCCATGCAGTGGACCATTAGCAGGATTTCTGCATCCTAATTCATAATTGCATTCAGATTCCTTAGGTTTAGCATTATTGGAGGTGGTTTATAGTGCTTTGTTGAGATAAATTCTGTGGATTGGGGTTGCCCAATTATGTTGTGTGTGTTCTCGTCATTTGGTGTGCAGATCTTTTGGAGCTGGCTGTGGTTCTGAATAGCATTTGTTGCTCACGCTTGCTGGCTTATAAAGAAGATGAATAAATACATATAATAAATATAAATAAAAAACTGCAAACAAGTTAACTGTATACATAAAAAGCTTTACTTTTAGGGATTAGGGATTTCATTGAAGTCTGCAACTGGTAACACTGATTCTATACATAGGAATATATTACATTGGCAGGAATTAAAGTTTTCATTTTAATTCTGTTAGGGATTACATCAACTGAGTTTACTGGGGGGGGTCAATTCGTATTTAGTTCAATTTGATTGGCTGGGTGGTTGATCATTGGGTATACTGGGGAAACCAATGAATGAATTCTTTATTATAAACAAATTCATCTTCCATACCTTTCTGAATCCATCAATTGGGTTGATGCATCTGGGGGAAATGAACGAATTTACATTTATGAATGAATATGCTACCTATTTAAATACCTTTCAGAATCAATTACTTGAACTGTTGATCGATGGGGGGAATAACTAAGCAAATAAACACCAGGGGAATAAGGAAAACGAATTTCTGCTGCTTCCATTGATTTTGACACGTTTGCAAATTCATCCGGAAAAGGGTACTTTTTTGCGATTCTGTGTTTTCTCAGATAAGGGGGGGGGGCTTGCCTAATTTTTTGAGGGTTTTAAAAAAAAATCCTTACTGGAACTTACACCTCGATAAACGTGCATAGGAAGAACCGATGGCACCCGCAGCCCATCTTTCTTCCCTGGAGGAACATGAGGACTCGTGAGAGATTGCCTCATTCGGGTGGTGAACCGGACCAAGCCCTTCTCCGCCTCAGCAGGGCTGACCGTCGCCATCCCCACCCACCGCAGCCGCTAAATGCCCCAGGGGGGCTCCTCTTCTTCTTCTTCTCCCCCAAGGGAGCTTCTCCCACAGCGCTGCCCGCCCGCCAACCCTTTTCTCCCACCTGGTGAAGGCAAAGGCCATGAGGCTGAGGATGGTGAAGCTGAGCAGGGTGATGGTGTGCGGCCGGTAGAAGAACTCCAGCGTGATGTCCTCCACTTGCTGCTCGTTGATCATGCGGAAGTGAAGCCGGTAGTTCACGTCGTCCTTGCTGAGGGTCCGGCTGCCCATGTACGACGCCATCGCCTCGCCGACCGGCGGCCGCCTCCGCCTCCTCCTCCGCCTCCTCCTCGCCTCGCCGGCGGCCACCGCGGGGGCGTCCCGCTCCCGCCGCCTCAGCCCGACCGCGGCCGAAGGAGCCGGCGCGGGGTGGAAAGACGGCAGGGAGCGCGCTGGGCGGCTGGCCAGGCTGCTGCAGCGGCGCCGCGGCGGCCCCAGGAGGGGACGCGGGGGGAGAGGAGGCGCGACGGAGGGACGGGCCTTGCTGGGCCGCCGCAGGCCGCGGGGAGGAGCCGGCTGGGGAGCCTCGCCTCCTTCCCGCGCGTCAGAGGCCTTCGCCCGAGCGGGAAGCGCGACCGCTGCAGCGAGTCCGGGGCAGGCGAGGGCCTGCATGGCTGAGGCGAGCCGGGGACTTTCCTGACAGGGGCAACCCGGCGCCGGCGGGACGCCAGGTAAACGCCTCGCTTAGCTCTCGGTACGGAGAAGGTTTTGTCAGAGCCGGGCCTCAGGGAGGGCGAGGGGCTGGACCCTGCGGACCTGGCGCCGGTGCGAGTTCATCTTCCCTTCGAGGAATCCCCTTTGGAACAGCGGCTTCTATTGTTGCGTCCCCGAAGGGCCTCTTGATTCGGTTCATCTCGATTCGGTTCTCTGCCCCAATCAGTTTGCATGCTTCGCTCGGAAGTAAAGCCCGGTCTCTGGGTTCAGTGGGGTTTGCAACCAGCTGCCCTATACAGTCAGGCTGCTGGGTCCATTTAGCTCAGTATTGTCTGCACCAGCCTTTCTCAACTTTGGGTTCCCAGAGGTGGTTGGACTACAACTCCTATCATCCCCTAGCAAGCAGGACCCAGGGGTCAGGGATGATGGGAATGGTATCAAGGAATTGCAGAGCTGGAAGGGACCTTGAGGGTCATCTTGTTCACACACACATCCACCCCACCCCCCCAATGCAGGAATGTTTCTCCTAGCCCGAGACTCGAACCCACGACCCTGAGACTCATACTCTACCAACAGAGCTATCATATCATACAGCTTTTAGAAAACATCTGAAGGCAGCCCTGTATTGGGAAGTTTATGTTTGATGCTTTATTATGGTTTATATATTCTGTAAGCTGCCCAGAGTGGCTGGGGAAACCCAGCCAGATGGACAGGGTATAAATAATAAAATTGTTGCTGCTGCTGTTGCTGTTGCAATTTAGTTGGCATCCAGCTGTCTTGGTGCACTCTTCCATTGTCTCTCATCAGGGTAAAGTCAAACAGTTTGAGAGTTACAGTGCCAGACCAATATGGGAGAGACGTATTTTATTGCAGCTTGGGCAGATGAAGGCATCCGGTTTCAAATACACCATGGGGTTTCTTCTCTCTGCACTCCTCCCAGCAGTCATTTCTCCTTTGGTCACTGCTGAGGATATACAGTCCACCTATCTGTCTCTAGGCACTGTGGTCATCTGCATGAGATAATAGTCCCAACAATATCTGGGGACTCAAGGTTGAGAGCAGCTGGTCTACACTCTCCCAGCTCCACCTGGAGAATGCAGGGAATTGAACTTAGGGCCTTTTGCATGCAAGGCTCTACCATTGAGCTAAGGCCTTTCTCCAGACAAACTGCATAAGGTTATGTAGCCGTGTGCTGGGAGAATGAAGGTGGGATCCTGTGGGATCCACTGCCTTGAGAGCAAGGGCCATTGGGCACAACAGGATATGTGTAGCCCAATTCTGTTCATATTTACCGTACATAGAAGTTAAAGCTGCAATTCTGACGCAAGCAGTTATCTACATAGATTAGTTGTGCCCCTCTTTGGAACCCCAAGAGTCACTTACAGCAGTTTACAAAAAGACACTCAAATTAATATCACAACCAAACCTAGGGATTTTTTGAGACAGCATTTTCCATGTTCTTCCCTGATACCAGGGAGCAGCTTTTAGCACAATCCTGGTGCAACTTTTCCAGTCCTCTCCAGCCAGTTTAACCACCCTCACAATACTTGTGAATCCGAGGTTGTGGAGTGGGGCTGTGCAGATGGGACTTATGATGGAAGCAGTCTTCTCTTTTTGGCAGTCCCCAGGCAGAAAGTCATCTTAGCCAGCCAGCCTAAATGTACCAGAGTTCATAATTTATTTGTGGCACATAAACAAGCCAGAGAGAGTGTGTGTCTGTGTCCTTGCTTGACTACTGAAGTCAATTCTTACTCCCCACGGGGAGATATACAAACCTGAAATATGTAAAATTGTGGTATTTTAAGCTAACATTTTCTTCTGTTTTATGTTCTGTGGTATAGCAGTGTTTCAGGGGTTCTGTGCGGGGAGGTTTGGGCAAATTCTAAAGGTACTCAGTGGGCACTTTTTCTTGAATGGATCCATGTCCTCCTGCCAGTATCCATTTGCTTGCCGCTGCCTCCTACCTGCTGTGGAGCTTATCTGCATCACCACCCAGAGGAATGGAGGGCGAGTGAGTGGAGGCTGCTGTTGCTATTCCTTTTCCTTCCTATTGTTGCTGAGAAAGGACAGGGAAATGGGTAGTGACAGCAAGAAGATGGGAGTCGCGCAGCCAGGAAGCTCTAGAATTGGCAGTGGGACCCCTGCTGCTGTGTAGGACTCAGAGATTGTTGGAGTATTCCAAAAACATCTTCAAGAAAGTATTGCTACTCTACACTTATGCAGCATGACGGTAATATTATATTGTTTTATATCAGCTTTCTCCAGCTTTATATGCTCCAGATGTTTTAGACTACATCTCCCATCAGTCGCAGGCAGTATGACTAATGCTTAGGGATGATGGAACTTGTAGTCCAACATCTGGAGTGCAGCAGTTTGGGGATGGATGCTTTAGACCTTTGCTATATGGTAAACATAGTGAAATAATACTTTTACAAAATGATACTGAATGCACTTCAGTTCTGCTTAAATATTAATTGAATTCATTAATTGTTCCTGTGTAAACTTTTGTGCATACAAAATTGGTTTGAATGTTCCCTTGACCATTTTCTTTCTCAATTTTGACAGAATATTGACTAAGATGGCTTCATTGACTCGACAGATATCCAGATGTTGCCCCATGTTAAAGAAAAACAGTGTTGTAAATAGTGCAAAACAGCTAAGAAAACAAACTGTCAAAACATGGACACTTCCTCTTCAACAATCTGGATTGCCATTGTTTTGTCCTTCCAGATACTCATGTCAAGTAGCGTTAAAGAACTCTAAGACTGTGCTTTTTGATAACCATGTACGATTCTGTAGTTCAAGCACTAAACTGAATCAGAGTCCAGATAATAATTCATCCTTAGTTAACAGACCAGAAACTGAAATAATATCCAGTTCATATACCGAAGCATTGCTTGAAGAAGGTATGTAACGAATAAAATAAGGATGAAAGTTGTGACCCTCCTAATACCATATCTAAAATTTAGATTTTTAACCTCATTTCTTGTGCATTGCTTGCTTGCTTGTAAAGAGGCTTGGAATTATTGGATTGCGTTTCCAAATTATTGTTTGTAAGTGTAAGGGCTCAGTTCTTCCTGCACTGCTGGGAGTTAAGCCATGGTTTGGTTTGGCTTAGCTTTGCATCCAAATCCTGGTTTATGGCTTATGGCCTGTTTGGAGAGAGACAAACCATGGGCCCAGGTTTGAAATTTAATGCTAAGCCAACCATGGCTTAGGTCACGGCAGCACAACAAAAGAACAGTCCCTGTGATTTTTGTCCCTTGCCCACCAGCATTCTAAATGTTCACCTTTATATTATAGTCTGCTACCCATCTAGAATCAGGGATGGGAGGGGGCAGAATTTGATTCAATTCGCCTTTAGGTGAACATAATTAATTTGTACTTTCTGAAACAATACATGAACCGAAACGCAGTCCTTCCTCACACCGTCCTTCTCTAAATTTTGAAATGCAGTTCTCCTGTCAAATAATGTGTACAGAATTGCATATTCTAGGGCAAAGGGTGTATAAATGCTTATATAGGAGAAAATAATGATATATTAGGCAGCATTCCTTTGCAGAAACGTGTATAGTTAGGCCTAATTGTATACAGTGGTGCCTCGCAAGACGAAATTAATTCGTTCTGCGATTTTTTTTCGTCTTGCGAAGCACGGTTTCGGAAAAGTTTTGGAAAAGCTTCAAAAATCACCAAAGTCTTCAAAAACCTCAAAAAAGGCTACCACACCGCGTGCTATGAGTTGCTCCTCGAAGTCAAGTCGCAACTGTATTAACGGTGTTAAGAAAAATGAAACAAACTTGCAAGACGTTTCCGTCTTGCGAAGCAAGCCCATAGGGAAAATCGTCTTGCGAAGCAGCTCAAAAAACAAAAAACCCTGTCGTCTCGCGAGTTTATCGTCTTGCGAGGTACCACTGTATAACAATGTGTATTATCGTGAGGACTTTTTTTTAAAAAAAGCAAACTGATACGGAAATACAGGGGACTTAATTAAGATTGGAAAATGAGAAACTGAGAGAAATTGAAAATGGCAGATACACCCATCCCTGTTTGGAATACATAGGATAGGACTCCTCAATAACTATGCATTGTCTGCCTCAGGGCTCCACCTGCTGTTGTTATTCTTCTGTTGCTTTGAACAGTAATATCGCACTTGCAATTGAAAGTGAGACAAACAGGAACAATAGGATCAGTGAACACTTGTGAATTGTCCACAATAATGAAATAATGTGACAGTAACTTAACCCATTCCCAGTTCAGGGTCTATTTTCTGTCCTTATGCTCATTTTTTCTCGGTAACTGTTGCATAGCAGAAGATCTCACTGTCAGAAAGCTGATAATCACTCTAGCTCTAAATTTAAATTGTGAAATTTCCCTTCCCGGAATTAGTGGAATTATATTCCCACTGGCCTCTGTGAAGGTAAACGCCACACACAGAGGGAGAGAGAAAATGTTATATCTGTTGTTTTCTCAATGGTTCTTTTTCCTTAACGACCTTCAGGATTAGAAGACACTTTGCCTTCATCCCCTTTTGAGGAAGTTTCGGAAGATGAGGCTCTTCAGATCAGGGCTGAGCCACCACTTCCTTTTGAATCGTTCACGCTTCAAGATTATGTCGATCATTCAGAAACACTGCAGAAGCTGGTGCTTTTAGGTAAGCATAGCACAGGGTTCTGC